CGGTATTTGTGGAGATTTAAAAAAATAAAAAAATAAAAAAATAAAAAAATAAAAAAATAAAAAAATAAAAAAATAAAAAAATAAAAAAATAAAAAAATAAAAAAATAAAAAAAAGAGTCTTACCTGCTTGCTGTTCACAACTGGGGCATAGAGTGTAAACGGCTGCATAAATATGAACGAGGTATAGCACGTTGCTAAATATGACGAGTGTCCATGGTACGATGGTTAGAAACAGTAGTAGATACCGCTATCATAGAAAAGAATTATACCAATATATTTGATGACTTACGCCAGTAGGAAACATGAGCGTCGTTGAGTGATTCTGCTAGCATGATCAGGTCCTCTTGAAAATCAAAATCCGCGAAATATTTTGTTTGGCGGATCTGTTCAATACGAGCCAAGGCATCAACAGGTTCACTCGAAAAAGGCTGTGTCAAATTAGGCGTCAGAGCAGAATCTCGGAAGATAAAGAAGTCGTTGAAAAGGGTCTGGAGCGAATCAAGTGTGATGTTGGCGAAATCCGGATTGAATTCGATGGATTTGTAGCAAGCTGCGACATCTCGCCTAGTAATCTCTGTCGTTTCTAAATGACTGAGGATCGTGCATGGGTCTGTACTTTCAAAAGAAGGAGAAGGAGGAGGAGAAGATATATCGGCGAGGGAGCGAACGGTGAGTGCAATACAAAGCACCGATACAAGTGCGAGCGCAAACGCGACTGGTTTGTGAGAGTTTGCCATTGGTAGTAGTTTACAAAGAGGATCGGAAATGAGATAGAGTAAAAAAAGAAAAAATAAAGAGGAATCATTACTTTATTTATACTTCCTGAGCAACTAACGGACTGAGAGAGTCTTCGCCATTAAGTCGTCGACAAATATATTTTGAAAAATGTTTTTTTTCTAGATAACGTCTTTTTCTTTGCTGACTTCATTTTAGACTTTTGGGATTACTTTACTGAGCCATCAGTTACTCTTTCTTAACGGTTCCACCAAATAAAAGTCGAAAATTTGCCACCGGCCTTTCCCTTTCTAATGGTTTCACAAGCTTCGCCAAATCTTAACTTTTTGCAATGCACCTCCTGTTTCGAAACTTTCAATGTTACAATTTAAAACAATTTCCCGGTAGGATTTCTATCACTGTGCTTCTTCTTTTTTGAAGCGTCATTCTTTTGAAGTTTCAGCCATTACAAATACTTTCCTTATGAATGAAGCTTTGATGTCATATCATGGAGCTACGTGTTTCTATATTAGACTCGATATCGATAGCCAATCTTAACCAGCTTCAAGTAATAGTACCGTGCTGAAAAACCCCTCTTATCCAAATCCGAGCTCCAAAATAGAGACTTACGGCCTTATGTGATGGTTTGCAAGGGCACGATTAAGGGGCCCTGGCTCCATGGTCGCGCCCGTATCTTGGATATTGTGATCTGACGTGTCAAACTAACTGGATAAAAAATAAAAAATAAAATAAAAATAAAAAAAAAAAAAAAAAAAGCTGTAAAGATAGATATGTCGTCCTGAGGATCCTAACTGAGAGACAGGCTGTAGTTACTTTGAATTATCACTAGAAATAAAGATGTGCATCTATTAAGCTCAAAAAAAGACGCGACGCTATCAAAGTTCTTCGCAACTGTCTTGGAAGTACGTTTTGATATGTTGCTTAAATTATAATATTGTTTATTTTATTTTATTTTTGTAGTCTACTTATTGCTTTCTATCAAAAAGTACACCTACTAAGAGTTAGATATGATGGTTACGTCGGATGCAGCGTTGGATGGACTCGGACTAGAAGATCCTTGAGACGATAAGAAATATGAACTAGGTGATCTTTGAGTTGCATGCATTTCATTAGTAGGGAAGTCATTCCATTGGCTACTGTATTGATTGTTTGGGCTATAATGGCTGTATTGAGAGTTTGGTTGAAAGATGACTGGGCTTGCTATAGCGGCTGTGGGAATAAACACATTTGGGACGTAGCTTACTGTTGCTGCTGTTGTAAGAGCAGGTCCAGAGACGGCAACCCCATCGGTGGTAGTAGCGTATATGGCTGATTGATGATGGTATCCGGGCGTGGTGGCTCCGACACTGTAGTAATGCGGGGATAAGGGGGTATTGTTGTTGCGTCATGTCTGACGGGAATAGGACTGTGCTGATTATTTAAAGTATGTACATGTACAGGTGTATAGTCGTGTACAAGACCCATAGCCACAGCGTCTTGAGGGTGACGCTCAACGATATGACTATTTTGAACTACCGCATGAGGATTTCGGCCGTAGGCATGGGGTGGGGTCTGCTGATTCGGGTTTGTGCTCATGTCTGGTTTTTCACTTCCGCTTGCAAAGGCTTGAGCTCCATCTTTTGATTGTTCCTGCTGAGTCTTTAAGTCATGCAGTTGTCGATCGGATTTCCTCTTCATGTAGAGATAGACGATGCCCGCTAGAGCTACTACGAACAATGCACCAAATGTGCCTCCAAGGATGACAACCATATTTACAGACCCTGATTGTGAAGGCAATACGGGCAGGAAGGGCTCTGCGGGGGACGACTTGGGCTGCCTCGGGGAAGGATGAGATGCATTTACATAGTAGTCTGGTGGAGAATAGGACTTTGTCCACTGACGCTTAGTTAAGTCAAAGATCATCGGTGTGGCAGATACGGTATTGAGGCCATCGTAGCCGCCCCATGAGATAAATTGGTTGCCAATGATGATGCAGGCCGTATAGAGCCTTGGTGTCGGTGCAGACTTCTCCTGAGACCATATGGATGAAGTAACGTTCAAGACGTACAGTGTACTCGTAAAGTTGGTAGGAGGGGTTGCAGTCATATTAGCTGGTATTCTACCTCCAAATATTACGACGATACGTCCATCTTCGCCTGAAAAAAAAAAAAAAAAAAAAAAAAAAAAAAGTATCATCAGAGTTTTGATTATATAAAAGGTAAAGACATGACACGTTATAGCTGCAGATACTTACTAGAGGCCATGCAATGATCTGCTCTAGGCGTGGGAAGATCACCTTTCGTGTCCTAATCAAAGAAAATAAACGTGGCAAGATTAGATAAGATATTGAACTTGAGTGAATAAGCAGACCGTTTGCAGATTGCTCAACTCACTTACAAAAGTAAGCCATCTACCCTCGTTTGTAGCCGTGCCTAAAGAGTACTCCGTGATGTATGCTTGTGGTTCCCATTTTACCTCTACTGTGAGTCCACCCAAATACATGATGGAGTTTCTATAAGCATTGTATACAGCACCTGAGAAGAACCGTGAAGTGAGAACATCAGGTGGGATAGGGGTATAGACGAACGCTTGGTTGCGAGGTGGTAGGTATAGAAGTTATTAGGTCCAGCAATGTAGACAGTGCCTGATTGAGGATCCAAGACTGGGCGAATCGCTTGCATGGGTTCTATTCTGTCTGTGGCCATGACAGAGCGTTCCCACTTGTCTTGCTGGATATCATATGTATTAACTAGGAGCTCTTTGCTGGCATCCATAAAGAAAGTCGTCAAAGTCCGGTTGTCAGGGCTCCCTACGCCATTGTACAGATTATGGGAAGGGCCAGAAGAAAGAGGCTTCCAATGTGGCGTGTGAGCGTCCCAGGATACAGCCAGGTCTAGAGCAAATAGTTGGCCTATGGTCGGATCATCGTTATTGCCAGCCACGTGTTTACCTCCTTGAACATAAAGATACTGCCCCGCACGCATGAAAGCCATCTCCTGGACAGGGGCTGGCACTTGTGCGTGCGAAAGAGCTGTTAAGGCATTAAAGAAAAGAATGACAGCAATAGGTGAGAATAAGAGTTGCATGGCAGTGTTTTTTCGTGAGGTTTGCATGATTGTTTATCCTGCTTGTTTCTTGTGTGGGATTTTCAATGTTTTAGTTTGACAGGAACTGTGTTAAATCGCCCAAACTAATGCTGGCATGCAATGCAGGTGGAGAGAATGAATGAGAAGGTGAGATTCAAGAAGAATGGTGAAGGAGAGGAACAAGCAAAAAATAAAAAAATAAAAAAAGTAGTAGCAAACAATCAAACAAAGAAATAAACACCATGCATGTGCATAGAAAAACACATAATTGATGTCTACTCGCAAATGACTGATCAAAGACAATCAGGCACACATGAATCCGTTATCTTTCTAAGGGATTGAACTTTACATTGGACGCCGTCTGAAGAAAGGGTGAGCAATCTAATGAGCATACTTTCTTCCTCCCTTGCATTTCTCTTCGGAGCAGGAATTTGCCTACATGCCTCATTTCATTGGGCATCTGGAAGTTTAAAGCATGTTTGCAACAACCATCCAGGCACAACTCGCATGTGGTGATGTATTTAGAATGGATAAATCAAACTCTTTGTTGCACAACGTACGATTTGTATACATGTTATATATATAATTGTTTTTTATATTCTACAGTGAGCACCGAAAGGAGTCATATTCAAGGCACAAGATGAACGGCAATTCTAGGCAACGCGTTGTAGCCTAGTGAAAATATCAAAAAAAAAAAAAAAAAAAGACATGGCACAGCAATGGAGCAACATGAAATGTCTGGGTTCATTTGCACATTCAAAAAAAGGATTTCTTTTTTTTTTTTTTATAGGATGCAAGCACAAATAATAAACAGTTCATGATTGGAAGATTATGTTTGTACTGTTTATGCTGTTTATGCTGCTTATGCCATTGACATGAATATGTCAACGCACTAGATAACGATTTTTTTTTTTTTTCCAGAAAAAAGTGACGCAAAGCCCGGTCAATGTCAACACATGCTTGCCCACATCATAGCCAACTTCCATCACCTTCTGGTACGATTGAAGACAAACCCTTTAATTAAAATAAGTAGGAAAGGCAACTGAGGGAGCTTTTTTATAAATATCACCATCTTATGTCTGTGTCTGTTTTAAAGTTGCATGGTCCTGCCTTGTGCTAGTATCTTTTTTTGCCGAGAGTTTCATGGTGGCACTTTCGAAGTCGAGCTCGAAATAACACCAGGGTGTCTCCTCTTTTCATCCAAACTGTTCAGTTATTTGTTCCTTCTTCCTCTCCTCTCCTCCCTAAACCCTTGATGTCTTTTGGCTGTTGTTGCTTACATATTTGAGCTCATTCTCCCATCATACCACTTTAACTACCCTCCTTCTCTCTCTCTCGATTTACATTTGGCTATTGTTTTCGTTTTCCCACTCTTTTCTCCTGCTTTCTTTCCTATTCTTGTACACTATCCTCTCTTCTTCCCTCTTCCCTTATAACCCAAACGAAAATCCCTATACCTCCACTGTTCATTATTATTATTTTAACGCTCAGCCTGCTCTTGTCAATTCTGTCAGACGCAATCGTCCGACATTATACCTTTCTGGTATTTTAGACACTTTGCCTGACAACCATGACCGATGTTTCAACTCGCTATTACGACTCTACTTTCAATGGCTTGATGGCCCAGATCGGCCTCAGCGTTGGCGTTAGCGTCGTTTGTCTTGCTTGCTTTGAATACAATCGTCGGAAAAAGACGCTCGACTATCTCTACTCACCTCGATGTCGTCTAAGTGTGTAAGCTATCCTTTTTGCGCTATTTTTTTTTTTTTCTTCTTCTATTTCTGTATTGTTTATCACTCCTATAACATTTAATCGCCAATCACACTTGTTTAGTGATCCATCTCCGCCAGTATCACGCAAACTTCTAGGTTGGATTATACCGACAGTCAAGTTGAAGGAAGATTCTATATTAACAATGTTGGTCTGGACGCAGTCATGTATTTACGCTTCTTGCGGATGTGTTTTCATTTTTGTGTCTTCAATGGCATCGTTGCCGGCGGGATCTTACTCCCAATTCACTATTTTGCTGGTGGAACTCTAACAGAAGTCGCTCGGATGAGCATCACAAACGTGCCCCGGGACACTAACTTGTTTTGGGGCGCATGTCTTTTTGACGTACGTTATCAGTCTCAGCTGGATGTTTTTATTGTTCAAAAATTACTGGCAGTGGATGGACCTTCGGCGGGAATACACATTACAACGAATTCGACATGGTGAGATTGCAGAACGGTCCATCTTTATTAGTCGGTTGCCTTCCAACCTTCGATCCGATGCAGCACTTAAGCAATATTTTGAGTCTCTTAAGATGGGACCCGTCGAATCTGCAACAGTTGTCAAGGATTGTGGTCGCCTCTCTCAAAAACTGGATCGGAGGGACAGTGCACTCAACAGACTGGAAAAGGCGCATATTGATCTTGCTCGCTCTGTACTTGAAAATGTCAAATCAGGACATTTTCCCGAAGAAGCAGCAACAGTAATAGTATCTGACAAATCTCATGCTACTTCATCTTCAACCACAGTGGATTACGCAACCCTGCAGCAACTTGTGCAAGATCTATACAAAGACAGGAAACACTACAATAAAGTGCGAAAGTCGATTTCTGCGATAGAGCGTGCTCTGGCAACTAGGGGCAATAAGGACACCAGTATGGTTGCTGCAGACATAAACCAACCAACTACTGCTAAACAAATACTTGAGACGACAGCCACCTCTGAGACAGTCGTAGCGCGTCATGACTTGGATACAATTGACATTGTAGTTCATCAGGAACCTGAATCCATTGCGCCTTTCCGGACAGGACTGCAGGAACCAGAAACTAGTACCGTCATTACTACTGGTCGCTATAATGACCCTGGCAAAAACAGTATATGGCATATTCTAGCATCCTTGCGTCGTCAAGATTTGGATGCCTTCCAACCGACCCGGACAGAGAAGCGCTTCAAGAGCGGGGAACGTGTGGACTCAATTGACTACTTTTTGAAGAAGTTTAACCGTCTGGATAGAAAAATCGAGGAGCTTCGGGATGGTTCTTTGAGATACAAATCAACTTCATTTGGTTTTGTCACGTTTAAGCATCATCTATCCGCACAGCTGTGTGCGCAAACAAAATCGATTCGAGGCCTCAGGGGCTGAGTGTGCGCCTGGCAATGGAACCTAGGGATGTACTATGGAGTAACCTAACTGTTAGCTTCCGAAATCGTTTTACCCGCACAGTGGCTGTCAACTTGAGCTCATGGTGAGTACTTCAGATGACTTTTTTTTTTTTTTTTTTTTTTTTTTTTTTCATGTCTATGTCTGAATTCATTTAAAAGCGAAGAAGCTTTGTCAACTGACCACGCTGTTGCTTTTATGGCTTAGGGCTTTAATCATATTCTGGATTTTCCCTACATCATCTTTTCTGCTATTGATGTCATTGACTCAACTTTCGCAACGATTCAAATTCCTGGAGCCTATCCTTGAGGCCTCACCCTTGATACAGTCCCTCATACAGAACGTCCTCCCAATCATCTTTGTCACCATTTTCCTTGCTCTTGCACCAGTTATCATCCTAGGTAATAAGGATAACAATGATGTGGAATAGAGCTCAGAGTCCAATGAGATGGATAGATAGCTACAATAGATATTAACTCGACCCATTTTTTTACCTTCATGACTTCCATCCTTCCTCGTTTTATTGATTTATTAATTTTTTTAGCCATATCCAAGCAAGAACTTCCCGTATCCCATTCAGAACTGGAGGGCAAAGTCTTACAGCGCTATTACCATTTCTTGATCTTCAATGTCCTTTTTGTGTTTATGATCGGGAGCGCGGTTGTCAAATCTATCATCAGTATCCTTCAGGAACCAACCAACATTTTTAAATTGTTAGCCGATCTCTTGCCTTCCGGATCAACAATTTTTCGTATTCTACATCATCTTCAATACTTGTACTCATTTTCTAGAGCTACTTCAAGTGTGGGCGCAGCTTGTGATCCATATCTTTGTTACCGCAAAGAGACTAACAGGAACACCTCGATCCCTTCAGAGAGCCATCACCCCTTGGTGCTTTCAGTACTACTACTATTACCACAAAATATCCTCGCCTTTGTAATCACACTCATATATTCGATTATTAGTCCACTGATCCTTTTGGCTGCCGTGTTCTTCTTTGGATTTGCACTCCTCATCTTCAAGTATCAGCTTGCCTATTGCTATATTCGTCGATATGAAAACAGTGGGCGTTATTTCAGACACGTCTTCCAGTACACATCGGATGGTCTGATCATTTTCAACGTCACCATGATCGGTGTTTTGTGGTTGAATGAGGCTGTGGTCGGTGGATTCCTCATTGTGGTCTTGCTCGGATTCACAATTTACTTCAAGATTGTTTGTGCAGATTTATTCAGACAAGGACAAAATACTTGCCGTTGGATACAGGACTTCGGAACTTTGGGCCTGAACCAGATCCTACGGGTCCGGATACAGAACTAAGATCGAATATATTATCTACTTCTGTCGGGTCCACCTCAACAAGGTCCTGCGCTAGCAGCGCTGCTTCCACTTCCGGAAGAGGGGGGTTGAGAAAGCGTCATATTGGCGAAAACGCGCAGACTGCAGCTACTTCTGTCGCGTCATTGGGCAATTTGACATCAGAGGGGTTGGCAGACTTAGGCAGTAGCGATCCTGTTGGGAGCAGTTCTGGTAGCGGTGGTTCTGGTAGTAGCAATCTGGGTTTGAGCCAACCAAAGACATTTTCTCGATTACGTCCAGCTGCGGGTCAATCGGATCGATATGAAAACTGATGCACCGCGATTCGAATGATGATATTTTGGATGAGAGCCACCTGGAAGATATCGTAGATGAGCCTGCAAAAAGGAAAAGGAAACTATAGCGATATCACGGGATACAAGCAAAGAGGGCAGAGATGATATTATTGATAAGGGTGATGATGATATATGCAGATGCAAGGCCTCAGTTAAATATGGATGACGATTTCTGTGATTATGATAACCATAGTGGAACTTTTGCTACTGGATACGAAGCAACAGCAACAGCCATTGAACTTACTAATGGCGGCTCAGGGCCCTCGGCTGAGGTGGCAACATCTAGACGAAACAAGAGAGCGACGTATGGCGATGGGTTTTTGGCCGACAATAACTATTTCTCCAAGACTGTTGGGCCGTCTCATTTCTTACAGGCCTGTACCGATCCAGCAGCTCACTTTGACCATTCTCCGTCCAAAATCATATATCAGGATCAGACATCAGAGTTTGAGACCTATATTCATCCAGCGCTGTTCAAGCCCTTGAACCGTAAGATGTGGTTACCTAGAAACCCGTTGTATGAGCATTGGGATCTGGATGACACGATGGAAATTGATTTTGCGCTCAACAGTTCAGCTACAGAGGGTAAACTCAAGCTTCGTGTGTATGAAGTTGATGGCATTGGTATTGCTCAAAGTCCTCGGTTTGATCTTCGTGTACTTTGTCATGACACATACGGACCCAACACAGGGGATTTGTCGGCTCCAACATCAGCCGTGGCGCCTTTAACATCTGCCTCTAATTGGGAAGGATGTCTAGGAAGCCCTTCAAATCTCGAAGCCGCTCAGAACTCTGCTCTGCAGAAATCCGTTGCCTCAATCGAGGGAGATGCAATGCCAGAGGAATATGTTGAGGACCAGAACTATGGATGCAACAAATATCATTCAATCGCAATACATTTCCTCCTCGCCGCAGACTTCCTCTCCATGCAGTCAACCTATATCGCTAATTGAGCACTCCAGTTATGTCGCCTCTATCGGTTCACAAGGCTTTACAGCAATCTCTAGATCAAGACGCATCTTCTCTTGCTAGCTTCCGTCCTCGTCGACGCATGACGATCCCAGTGGGACAAGCATCTGATAGTAGCAATGTCAGCCGGAAAGATGCCCTCACGCCGCTATCATCATCTGGAGTAGTGACAAGGCCTCGCGCTAGGACCCCTTTGCGCTCTTGTTCCCATGGCCCTTCCATAATTGAACAAAGTACTGATCAGGACCTAGCCAATAGTAATTCTTTGACATTCCACTTCCCGGGCGTCCGCTGCCTCCAGCAGCACCATTAATGCGTCGTCGCAGCACATTCTTTCCAGCCCAAAATCATTCAGGTTCTGGAGCTGGTACAGTTTCTGGAAGCTCAATTCACATCACACAACCTAAAAATGCGCGAGGCTTTTTGAATATGATTTTCGGTGGATTGAACCATGATGACGACAACGATGATGATGATGGCGATGGAAGGCCTACAGGAACAGATAAGCCCCAGTTTGGATATGAGACAGGCGGTGCGTGGGTCAGTCGACGCCATAACCATACTGAAGAAGATGATACCGATGATGATGAAGATGAGGATGTACCGAAAGCGTTGGGGAGTTCAAGTGCGAATGCAGCTGTAAGCGGTACTGGTGATGGAGATGGTAATAGCAAAGATGGTAGCGGTGGCGCTATTGAAACTGGACCGGATCCCTTAGGACTAGAGGAATCCCAAAAGACGCCTTCACCTGCCGCGAACCTTGATCTGACAGAAACATTACCTGTCCCCAAGGTTAGGGACATATCCAGGAGACGCTCCGAGGGTATTATGAAGCGGACCATGAGTTTTTGGCGCGACTCGGACAAGCCCGATAGATCTGGAGTATAATATATTCTTACTATCTTACTATCTTGCTATCTTAGTACCTTGCTATCCCCTAACATATTATATAATACTTATAATAATAACGATGTCCTCATCGAACAAATGAGTGCACATTCGACAAAATTCCCTACAATCCTATATAAAAACTCACAGGAACCATTTGCTTGTGAGCAGTTAGCAAATGATCCCTTCTTTTTGGAGCCGCCTCCCCAATAACTCGATGAGTGGGTGGAAGAACTTTAGGGCAAGGGAGGTTGAGCCATGACAGGGTCATACTCGTGTTAATATGAACAAATTTGTTTATTATGCCCATTATATGGTTACAAGAATGAAAATATGTTGACTAACAGAAAAAAAGCTTAAAGAGGCAGCCAAAAGCCTTTTTTTTTTTTTTTTTTTACGGATGAATGGAATGATTGAATAAATGAATGATGATGATAATAAAATGATATTAAATACAATCATTTTGGAGGCGCTACGTATCCCAGGTCCTCTCCTACCGGGTGCAAAACCTGGGGAGCTCTAGCAGATTTGGAATCTGAAAAAGCGCTGCCAGAAGAGTCACGGATACTTTGTGGTCCTGAAAGACGGTTTGTGTTCTGCATACTGAGTCTTTGGTCTTTTGAGCTTTTAGGAGACATGTCATCGTATGGTGTTTTGTAAGGGTATGGAGAATTTGCAGACGAAGTTGATGCAGGGGGTGATAGCGGAGGTGCATAGCTGGATCTTTGAGAATATTGATCGTGGTATGCTAATTTCTCTTGTTGTTGAGCTGGAGAATATTGCGGCGAATATTGCTGCTGTTGAAACTGGAGGTGTTGTGGCGAATACTGCTGCTGTTCCTGGTACTGAGCCCTTGGTATTGTACAGGCGGCCACGGGATGACCTTTGCACCGATATCTGGTGGTGCTTCATAGCCTGCAGGTGGTGGTATTTTATACGGGTCCACAAAAGTTTGTGGACTATAAGCGTTCTCTTCGAGCGGCATACCAGCACCAGACAAAGGCCTCGCAGCTGCCGGGTCCATATAGCCAGCGAGAGGGTCCCAATAGCCAGACATTGTATTAGCGCCTCCTGGTAAAGGATGCTCTCCTGGCAACGGATGTCCATACATTGCTCCAGCGCCTGCTCCAGCTATTGCTCCTACTCCAGGTTCAACTGCATAGTATGGGTCTTGTCCTACTCCACCAAGGCCGTTTGTAGCTGCGAGATGATTTGACGTTTGTACCATTGGCCCCATAGAATATCGATTATCTGGATAATGATGAGCCTCAGGCTCACTATCATCCACCATGTTTACGTTAGTGTAACGCTGCTGCTGACGGTTTCCTGTGCGAGGCCCTGCAATATAGCCAAGACCATCATCATAGTCGTCATTTGAAGATGAATGCTTTCCTCCACCTGCACCTCCGCTTCCTCCTACTTTGTCTCCATTAGACACTGGATCTTTCTTCGCAGCCCGTTTCTTGCGCCTTATTATGATGAAGGCAGCAATACATCCTATTAAGACCACCACCCCACCTACAGCACCTCCGATGATAGGCCCTAGATTGGTTTTGTCATCCCATGGGTTGGATCTACGGAAGGGGACGCGGATGGGTCTGAAGTATAATTCTGAACCCATTCATCACGAGCGACATTATAGACGATGGGGATATTATTGTGCATAGTGATGTCTCTTTTGTCTCCGCTTGAGCCACCCCAGGCAATAAACTGACCCTGTGGAAAGCACATGACATTCGAGTACGAGGAGTGCTGGCTGGTGAGCCGGCTTTCCATTGTCCAGTAGTAACATCCAGGATGTGAATATCTGAAAAGAAGGTCGTGTTGTCTAGTGAGCCTCCAAAGAGCACGATCTTTGACCCATCGTCAGCTGAAAATGTACGTCAATATTAAAAAAAAAAAAAAAAAAAAAAAAAATTAGGCATTGTTGTTGTTTGTGTTAGTTGTTGATATTGGCCTTAACATACAAATAAGGCTAAATAAATAAATAAAAAAAAGTGAAAGAGAAGGTGCAAAAGTTTCTTGCCGTTCAAACTTACAAGCTGCAACACAATGATCCAATCGACGTGGAATACTGCCTGAAGTTCTCTATTGTAGCACAAAGGGGGGCGAGGGAACATGGGATGCATGCATGGGAACCATTGTTAGCATAATCTTTGCCCCATTTCGCGGGAAAAAAAATAGGGCGAAGAGATTTTTTTTTTTTTTTTTTTTTTTTGTTTGTTTGTGTTTGTTTACCATGGGTTGCCTCCAAGATTGGGATTTAGGATCATATTCACTCAACGATTGCAAACCAAGTCCATCTGGGTTTGAAGGCGGTGCTCGCGACCCTCCAAAGGTCAAGACGGTTTTTCGAACACTTGACCAGATAGCGGCCACATCCGTAAGGGATGCAGTCTGGGCCGCTTCACTCTGCAGCGAGACAATCGACCGGTTTGAAGGGTCAAAAACCATCAATGCATTGTAGATCCCACCAGTCCAGTAACCTCCAACGATATAGACTAGTCCTGTATCTGGATCTGACACTGCAGTATGACCCTCCAATGCTGTATATGGATTGCTGTTGATGTTGCGCTCACTGGGACAGATGACCATACTCTTGATTCCAGATCATAGGCGTTAAAGAAAGGCTGGGTTGCGGCACCTTGAAAGGCGCCTCCGATTAACAACAGATAACCTTGTTTCCCTCCACCAAGGCCTGCAGAATGCTGAGGTGCCACCCTTACCATTGCATGATGGGTGACCGAGGGTCCATCCGGGAGCATGGACCATGCGGGTGCGGATGTAGGCCAGGATTTGGACAAATCAAGTGACTGGAACTGAGAACTGTATGATTGAATCGAGAACCACCTTGGATATAAAGCGAATCACCACTCTGAGCAAAGGCCATGCGTCGACGACCAATTGGGCCTTCGCTCTGGGCCTCAGTAAGAGGGATGAAAGACAGAAAAGCTGAAAGCACAACAGTTATGGCGAGAAGGAAGAAGTAGGAGAAAGAGGGAGATGAGGAGTGGGTTGCTACGGCACTGTGGACGCGACAATGATAAGGGTGGCCATGACTATGGTGCCTCTGTGGTGGTGCAACAGAGTAGCAAGAAGCACAGCTCTCTTTCATTCTTAAAGAGCAATATGTATATATGGTGGGAATGTCAAAATAAGAAAATGCAGCCTCGAGCAATAGCACTTCGATTATCTACTGTCTGCTGTTAAAGTTTATGTTATAGAGTCATCGACTGGAATGCACAAAAAAAAAGGAATCGAGATGTAATGATGAGAAAGAAAGCAGGAGTAATGTAAAGAAGAAAGATGAGGGGTGAGAGAAGAAGAGAGAGGAAGAGCCACAGGGACCACTTGCTTTGTTTTTTTTTTTTTTTTTTTTTTTTTTTTTTACTTCCTCGCTGACCACACAGGGCAAGAATGCTCCTAGACTTAAAGTCGGTTGGCATGCTTGACCACTCTCGCCCCCATTTTCTCTCTTTTTTTTTTTTTTTTTTTTTTTTTGCCTCTTGCTCTGTTACTCATGGATCTGCACAATGAAGCAGACAAGCAGACATGCAATGAAGGGCTTTGACGCAAAAAAACCCAAAAAATAAAAAGAAGGGTAGTCATGCAAAACAAAAGCCGAACACGCGCCCTTGTAGCTTGTACACTTGTACTCTTGTACCCAAAATAGAATTCGTAGAATCTGTAAATCTGTGCCTGGCCATCTTTATTATCCATGACGGCACTCCCACCACATCATATATATTTCTCGTTCTTTTTATATATATATTTATTATTACTTTACTCGTCTCTACATTAGGTGTTTGTACAATTAAAAAAAAAAAAAAAGAAAAAGAAAAAGAAAAAGAAAAAAAGTCTATATAAAGGTCTATAATGATCTATTCGATTTGCTTGTTTATTTATGAACGATGTCGTACAGGAATGGGGGCTGAATGGAAACGACGTTCTTCCATTGGGGCAGGAGAACCTTGATGCAAAGGATGCTGTTGTTGCTGTTGAGGATGGTGGTGCGAAGATGTCGCCGATGATGATTGATTATAATACGATGATCCATGATGATGATGGCTACTATTGGGTCCAGAAGGATGAGAGGAGAGATAAGATGATGAGGGCGAAGAGGAGTAATGGTGGTGACCCAAATGTGGCGACTGAGGGCGAGGTGACTGAGGGTGAGGCGAGGAAGGGAAATGGTGCTGTTGATGCTGGTGTGGGTGCATAGATGAATAGCTGGGGAATGATTGAGAATAAGAATCAGGACTTCCAGCACCTGAACGCGAGTGCGAGTGCGAATGAGAATGAGATACATGTCCATATCCAGAACCTTGATCGCGACCATGGGCACCTTGGTCACGATGTCACCAGGAACATCATAACCCTGGTGAGAACTTGTGTGTGGTCGTCGACAAGGGCGAACGGCCAGAAAAATCTTGTGAATGTTGGGGCTGATGGCGGTGAGAGAGCGTCTGTGAGTGTGAAGGAGATTGCGGGCGTGGAGGTGTGACATTGTGGCTGCTGCTGTTGTGGTAGGCGTAAGACAATGCAGCTGCCCTCCACTGCCAGCACGTGGCGAAGAGTAACTGGAGCTCAAGATGGCAGAGATGGTAGGGATGAGGACATTGTAGTATCGATAGGCTCCGACTTGGGGCTCACGCTGCTGGTATGATGGCCTTGGCTACGATGACTGGGAGGCTGTTCCCATCGGCCTCCAGATCTTGATTGTGAAGTTTGCATGTGGAAGTGAGAAGGAACGATGAGGACAATTCGTGCTGAGAAGAGTGATGATGGTGTCCGCCATGTTCCGAATGATGACGATAGTGCTGTTGCAAGTGCTGTGAACCGCTACTCTGGGAATATCCATGATGACCATGATCATGGTAATGAGCCGAGGAGCTACGGAAAGGTTGCTGCTAGAGCTAGAGTGTTGCAGATGACGCGGGAGACTACTCTCGCCTTGATATGAAGATGAATGACCCCCGCTGTTGGAGAGCGCTGGTGGAGAAGGTCTCTGGAAGGAGCTGGGCGAACTTGTGCCAAAGAACTTGGATCCCGATGATGGTCCTAGTGACTTGGATCCAAGTGGCGAGGTCCCATACCGATCGTGGTTCAGAGATGGAAGGAATCCAGAACCATATGGCCGACCATGAGGACTAGGCGACGGTGGTGAGGAATGTGCAACCGAGTGGGACTGGGACCTTTGCAAATGAGGACGGTTCGGAGGGATGGGGCGCTTTGGACCATAGCTCAGCGAATCGAGGACGCCTGCAGCAGCAAGCTGTTCCCTGTTCTCACTGTTGTGTGAAGCCATAAAAAAAATAATAATAATAATAATATAATAATACAATAATAATAATAATAATAATAATTAAAATATGTTTGAAGTGATATGCATTCTGTGCAGAAGCATAAAGAGGTGCTTTTACCTAATAAAGCTTCTGATATCTGGCTCATGGCCCTTTTGATGCCGAGTGAGAGTTGTACGTCTGGTAAAGGTCTTACCACAACCTGGGTGATCACACACATAAGGTCTCTTTCCAGTATGTGTTCTGCGATGACGAGCCAAAAGATGAAGACTAAAGTAAAATAAAACATAGTAAAATAAAATAAAATAAAATAACTAATTTATTAACTTCTGATGCTCATTTGATTGTTAAAATTATTGGTAGAGGCATAGACATGGTACTTACATCACTGAATGATTTTTGACACGACTCATACTCGCATACGTGAGGCCTTTCTCCAGTGTGAGTACGGTAATGAACCGTGAGTGCTGACCGCTGAATAAATTGTTTTCCACAACCAGCCCAGTCGCATTGGTAAGGTCTTGAATAAATATTAAATTATAAAAATAATAGTAATCGCTGGATGAGTAATCTTTTAATCGAGACATGAAGAAACTCACTCGCAATCCTTTTTTTTTTTCTTGCATCTGTGAGGTGAAGAAGCTCAAGAACAAGCAGAACTTTCGATCCGTTTTATGTGAAAATAAAAATATGTATATACCTTTCGCCAGTATGGATCCTGCGATGTCTTGCCAGATCTGATCGACGTGAGAATGACTTTGTACAATCCTCCCAGACGCATTCATAAGGTCGTTCTGAGACTGTGCCCTCTGCCTCTGAAGAGCTACCACTCTCCTTCCACCTTCACCCTCATCATCATCCAGTTCATTGTCCTCCTCTGCATTATCGTCCATATCTGTATCCATATCAAGATCCATATCTTCCTGATTGTTGTTGCGGTTCTTGCGGCTACCTTGGCTATGCGAAGAAGAAGGGTGACGCTGTAAACGTTCCTGTTCCCTTTCCTGCTCTTGCTTGAACTTTTGCTGAGCCTCAGGCCCGGAATTAAGCATGCTGCGGATATCCATTGGCGTTACAAGTAATCAATAGGGGTTATTGTTGTTGGTACTGGTGTTGGTACTGGTGCTGGTATTGTTGTCGTGATCTTGATCGTTATTGTTATTCGGTATTAGTGATATTTTTTATTGTCAGGTGTTACAAGTAAAAGGCGCAGATGAAAATGGGAAGGATGATGTTCGACAAAAGATTGGAGAACAGGGTCAAGAAGAAGTAATAAATTTAAGGGTCAAAAAAAAAGGAGGTGATGGTGGAACCAGGTACAAAGAAAGGGTCGTGGACTCGAATGCTTCCTGTGCGCACGGGCAATTGGCAACACAGGGAGGAAAAAAAAAAAAAAAAAAAAAAAAAAGTGGGGAAAAAAACAATAATAATAATAAAATATAAAAAGAGACTGTTGCAGACACTCGGTTCAAAAGGAAGAAGAGAAAGAGAGAAGAACAAGGGAAGAAAATGGGGACAATGAGGAACTATACAGTTTTAGAAAAGAAATAAATGAAACAGAGTGAAGTGAAGTGAAGTAAAGGAATAAAGGAATGGAGTGAAGGAATGAAGGTGTGAAGGAATGAATAAAACAGTGATGGAGTGTGAAATGAATGAGGTGTGACAAGCAGGGTCTAATGGAATGACCAACAGAGCGATCAGAGAGACACGAAGACGAGGACAACAGAAACCAAGTGTAAAGAGAAGAGAAAGAGAGAGAAAGAGAGAAAACGGAATGGGGAGGAAGAAAAGAGAAAGAGCAAAGTGTAGATGTAAAATAAGATCCTACTTTGACTCAATCCTTGAAGATTTGTTTGTGTGTGTTTCTGCTGGTAAAAAAAATAATAATAAACAAGTTTATATATACAAACGACTGTGATAGAGTTGAGCAGGAAAAGAACCAAAGTGAGTCGGATGAAGTGAATAATACATGTATAATAGAAAAATAGTGTTTTCCACGATTGATCCGTCTGCTCCTTTGCTCTTCTTGCTTGATTTGTTTTGCGCTGTAGGAGTTGCGTGCGCATTATAACATCCTGTGTATTATATAATACAATCGAGGCACTTATTCTATTGCTTTCCATGTTCTTTTTTTTTTTTTTTTTTTTAGTATGATTCCTTGAGGGTATACACAAAAGCTATTACATGTAGGCTATTATAGATCCATTCATTTGTGTGCATGGATGCCAATCCCATTTGCAAGGTTTTCTTTTTGTTCTTTTTTGTTGTCCGCGAACAATAAAAAAAAAAAAAAAAAAAAAAAGAAGCAAGGGTTCTCTTTGTATTTCATGGCAAATAAAAGAGGCGGGATTTGCTGAAACCTCTTTTGTATTTTTGATTGTATTAGGATCGAGATTATTTTTGTATTAGAATCGAGATTTGTGTACAAACAGCATGTTGATCGGAAGAGTCATTGAATCGAGACTCTTTCAGGTACAACCTCTGGAATAAGACGAAACAACTGAGTGGAAGGATAATATTTGTGAAAGGATAATATAGCGGATCAATTCATTTATACTATATTTATATATTAGAATTGGTTGGGTTTGCACAGATGGTGGGTATTTAATACATACACCACAAGAGAGCCAGAACTCTATACATACACGGATGAAAAACTTTTTTTTTATTCTCTTTCTCTCTTTCTCTCTCTGTCTCTCTCTTCCTTTCTTTCTCTCCCAGCAAACCACTGGATAGGCATGTCTTCTTTTCTTCAGCCAGTGTGGTCAACGTACATCGATGCTGCATAGATTCCCTGCACGACTCCAACTTCCTCTTTGTTTATTCTCGTTTAGAATTTTTACCGTTGAATTATATATTTATTTTTGCATTCCGTTTTGAGGAATAGTCCGTAAAAAAACTTTTTTTTGTTTATGTTTATTTGAGTGCAATTGTTTTGTTTGTCAAATCAACAAAAACACAGACGCACGCAGGCGCACAATATGCAGCTCGCTTGAGCCACGAGGACATCAACTTTTTTTTTTTTTTTTTTTTTTTTTTTTTTCTGTTTGACTGCATGAGGAATGATGAATTACAAGGTTGTGCGCTGCTCTCGGCACGGTAAAAAGCATTTCCATACACATCCAGATCACTCCTAGTCTAACAAAAGAGACGATCTTCGTCATGTTCCTGAAAAGAATAAATAATAGTGGTAATAATAATAATAATAAAAAAAAAAGGGGGGGGGAGGAAGAAGGGGCACGACTTTCTTTACCGCTTGATCGATTCTGTCCAAAGGGGTAGAAAGGAGAGGAAGACATGGGAAAGAGGCGAGAGAAGGATAAAATATATAATAACATTTGTAATATAATAATGAATACGAAATATACAGGGGGACAATGTCTGCAGTATTTTTATATATAAAAATATACACGCAGAGGACTACACAACGGATACAGAAGGTGTATACATCTTCACCTGTGGCATGACGTGCAATGCTCACTGTGATACAATCCTGTGCATACATGGGGTCGGGAAGTTGTCCATGTCCAAATTCTTTTTTTTTCTTTTTTTTTTTTTTTTTTTTTTTTTTTTGGAAGTTGTGTTTCCAGACAGATCTTCAAGATTAATAAGGATCAACATCCCTCCTCCCCTCTTCCCCCAAAAAAAAAAAAAAAAAAAAAACATGTACAACAGCAACCTTTAGTATAGAGCCCTTTGTATCTCAATCTTTCCTCACTAAAGGCAACAACGTTTTGAAATAAACAAAACGTGGTCAAATGGACCATGACACAAAATTCAAGGCAAAAATAAACAGACAAAGGCGTTACTTGATCAAATGATGAGATTACTGTTCGTGAGATGCTTTTTCCTTTTTCTTTCTCTTTCAAAAAACATGTATTACATATACTTATTGTCCTGTTTAAATGATTAGTGAATGATTAGTGAATAAAAGGTGATCATGATAGAAGTGTATAGACATTGACATGCGAATTATTCATTTCAGACATTAATCTTTGAAGCAAAAGGTCAAAATTGAATTCTCATCACAGTGGTCTCAAAAAAATATTACAGTTCTCACCCATTGCTCCTTCATAGCTCTATGCAGATGCATGCATCCGAGCCCAGATGGGTTATTGTGCTTTCTACATGAAGATTATAAAAGCTTGGTCCGTTCAAAAAAAAAAAAAAAAAAAAAAAAAAAAAAGAGCCACTTTTCTCTCAGCCTTGTATATACAGTAGTTGTTGTTGTCATGTTTTATCATTAGTATTTATATAAAAATGTAATTTAAAATTAAAAGTTAATACTTCTTTAAATATAATATAGACAGCATGTTCTTGTAAAGACATTCGAATATTCATCTCCATTCATACTCAATATACTCATGCCCATGCTCTTGCTCATACCCATGCTCATGCTCTTGATCAAGTCTTCACTGGTAAATCCTATCGTCTTTATTTTATTTTTTATTTTTATTTTTTACTTAAAAGAATAAAAATAATTATAAATCCATGATCATGATCATGACCATAAGCCGTACTCAGAGATTTACACATGACGCTAATCCACAGCGATTTCTGAATATAAAGCGATGATACGCGTTGATTAAAAAAAAGAAGGTAAGAATGAGAATTCCTTTTTTTTAAGCGCGTAGTAAAACCTGCTAACGCAATAATTCTTTCCTTTTTTTTTTTTTTTCTTTTTTTTTTTAAACAAGTAAAACGGAAACACTTCGTCTCAGAGACAAGGCGTTTATGCTAATCGCGTGCTTAGACTTGAAGAACATCCCATCAAAAGTCGGACTAAATATATAGCTCATGTACACATTGACCTCTCCTTTATTTCTTCTTTCATCTTGGCTTTATTACGGTCCTTTTTTAGACTGGGCAACGCCCGAGACAACAAAAACAAGGTCTGATCGATCAAGGTGGTATATGCGGTGTAATAAACTATGTTTAATATCAACTGTATAGTATATTTATATAATATCTTTTAAAATATACGTAAGATTATATTGACTTGTTCATGGCACTGGATAATGATTGGATTACTTCCTGTGCTTATTCATCAATCATCCTTCTCCATTTTGATTCTAATCCAATTGCTGTTTGCCCATTTTTTCCTTCATTGCTCTTTCACCTCTTTCTATGCCTCGCTCTCCATCTCATTACCTTAACAAACCAGATCAACAACCATCAAATATCCTCAATACTAAAATACAGCGAACGCGCCATCCTATATGTCAATTAACGTTATTTGATTTTGATTTTGATTTTGTTTTTATATTTATTTTTATTTTTTATTTTTTATTTTTTTGACATATTGGAGCAGCTAAAGCATTATGAGTTGTATTAGGAGAGTTAATATTTAGGGAACTGATGGTGATAGTATAAAATATACAGATGTAAAAAGGCATGGCCTCCACATCTTTCAACAATATTTTGAGAGAAGGCGCTATTGAATAGCCACTCTTGACTATTAAACTGGCTATCATATGCATATATATATATATATATATATATACTTGCTTAGGCGTCAACTCAATCATCTTCATTTTTTTTTTTTTTTTTTTTTTTTACAGTTTTCTGTTGTTTTATTGGTAAATTAAGATCATATTCATATCAGAGAGCCATCAACATCATCGTCATCAATTACCAACCATAATCTCCATCGTTCGTCGTTAGCTTCTTTTCTTTTTCTTTTTTCTTTATTTTGTCTTATGTCATCTCCATTCGGGTGCTCCTCTGCTTGAACTCTTATGTGATGTCTTTATTTCGCTTTCAATCACTTTTATTTTTATTCACGTATATGTAATATTTAATATTCATATAAATAAAAAGATAAAGTAAATAAATTAAAATAATTAAAAATATAAGCTCAAATTATGGTTAGATGAATGACATCTACTTCGTCAGAAAGTCGAGTCCATAGCATGGATTGATCTTTGGCCAGGTTTTGAGACTTGGAGTAACATGTATATATACTATTATACAATCAACAGAACTGATCAATACCGCTTTGACATCTTTTTTTTTTTTTTTTTTTTTTTTTTTTTTAGTCAAGTATGATTGAGAATAGACGATGTAATCGGACAAGATGTAAAATCAAGACAGAAGTTGGCCATTGTGCAGATTACCAGTAAGACACTCCTTTCCCTTGATCGTATTTTTTTTTTTTTTTGAAAGCCAGCTTAGCTCAAGCAATGTTTTATTTTTTATTTTATTTTATTTTATTTTATTTTTTTTGGCTCAAGCTCCCAGGGACCGCCTTGTCTCTTTCCTCACAAAAGTGCTCACCATCGCCATGGTTTTATTTTATATATATATATTACCAATGATCTCTGGAATACATACAGCAGAAAGATTAAAGTATATCCAATGAGTTAATCGGATAATTTCCATCCCTATCATCGACTGGACAAGGCATGCTTTGCTGATTGCTAATTCTTTTTTTTTTTTTTTTTTTTTTTTTTACAGCTTGTATGCAAAAAGTAAACACTTATTGCTATGGTATTCTATATATATGTATTATATATACAATATATATATTATTGAGTATTCTTCAATAACCTGTCATCTTTTTATTACTGTTCAACTCGGACATTGATTTGATAACTTCTTGGTTATTCCAAAAAAAAAAAAAAAAAAAAAAAAGTGCTTGAACGCGACAAATTTCTATTTATTTGTTTACCTATTTCTGCTATGAAATATTATATATGTATAATATACGAGTTAGGAGGATATTGGTCGTAATGAGAAGATACGGGAAAAAAAAAAAAAAAAAAAAAAAAAAAAGCGCGAAGGAAAAGGGCAGATGGTTGTTTTTTATTTGTTTGTTTACCATGTTTAAAAAAAAAAAAAAAAAAAAAAAAAAAAAAAACCTTCTCCTTCCGGAGTACAAAGTAAACATATTAGAGTCGCCACGTTTTTTTTTTTTTTTTTTTTTTTTGAGACAAAGACAGAGAGTAAAGAATGACATGCTCCTTTTCTCTCATACCTCTATTATATATAATCATCTCTTCCCATAGTGTCTAAAAAAGCAAAACCCTGCTTCCATCTTCTCCCTTGTCTTTATACATGTATAAATATAATATATATATATATATATATTTAACAAATGCGATGATACTGCGCAACGGGCAACTTTCCAAAGTCTTTTCATGTTTATAAACTATATGCTATTATTTGAAGATGTATACTATATATAATATATATATTTATATAATGTTTAATATGATTATTATTTTTAAAGTTTCTAGGTATCAGGTATCAGATCCCATATCGCACAGGGCGCCTTTTTAAAGGTGCGAGCTTTTGGCATTCATTTTATACATGTCTCGGTGCTAAGCAGAAAGGCGGGGTTTCATGAGGTTTGAAGGTGGAAGTCTCCTCTAGCATTCTTTAATATGATTTTGAAAAAGAAAAAAAGAAGAGTATATTTTTATAATAAATATATATAATAATAAAACTAAAATTAAAATTAAAATCCTTTTGAAAAAACTAGATCCATGTAGCTCTTAACGTCCTCCCGCTCTTATACTCTCCCATCCCGCCTTCGCCTCCCTTTGGTCCCTTCTTACCTTCCTCCTTCCCCAATTCTTTTTGTCAACTATGCCTTAAATGGGTAGGAACTATTATGTATATATATTTATGTTATACGTAGACGAGTTCAATATTATTCAAACGTATATTTTGTTGCACGTCATGTAAGAAGGATGGTGGTACAAAAACAAAAACACGTTTTTCGATGCATGAAAAAAAAAAAAAAAAAAAAAAAAAAAACGCGAGTGCTCACTAGGAAGGAATGTTTTCTCGAATATCCTCATGATGCGCGAAAATAAAACAAGCATTCTTAAATTCCTATACGTAAACATTTCCAACCAAGACTGTGGCGGAGGCTGAGGCTGAGGCTTAGATGAGCTGCCTTTAATATATACATGTATTATAATATATATATACATCTATGTTTTCATCTACACTATATGATAGAACTCAGAATTGGACAAGTTGTTGTAGAAACGGGCTTGGTTCCGTAGACGGTCCGATTTATGATTGGATAGGGTTACTTGTATTGATGCCACTATTACGCGTATGTATTTGTTATTTTATATTCTACAAATATAATATACTATAAACTAGATGTAATTTGAAATAGGAATGTGCAATAAAAAAACCCGTCAAGGGCAATGCTTAAAGTTTAATACCATACCTGGTTGGGTCACTTGACGTTGCTGCACTTTTTCACAAACTACAATGTTCAGCAGCCAAGCTCGTGAACAAGAAAGAAATCAAGGCAACAATGGATAATTTACACCTCTTTTTGTAAGTGTCTCGTTTTTTTTATTCATGAGGACTCTTGGCGTGTTACTTAGATAATTGTCTCATTTTTTACTTTTCGTCTTGTTCCTCCTTGTCATTGTTATTGTTTCTTGACTCAGTTTAGGGCTGTAAACTATATACTCGATTTGCCATCGCGTGCACTCCCAGGAATGAGCAACGAAACGTTTTTCCTTGATTAAGAATGGATGTGCAGCAGGACAAGTTGACTTACCTCAGTCCCAAGTCATGCTTTGCTTGGAGTTGTCCCGTGAACTCTCGAGGACTGGTCGAGTGACAGCCCAGCTATTTAATGACTCTGCTTGCGCATTTATCATGTTGCTCTATCAAAATCTGTAAGTTGCTTTATCAAATTTTCAAAGTTATTCATAATGCATCTTATTCTTATCACAACCTTTGATACTCACATGTGCAATCATAGGGTTGCAAGGCTCGTTAAGAAGAGGCTGCCATCAAATGAAGAATATGAAGATACTTTTGCCCATACTACATTTGTTCCCTCGAGACTCTGATTATGAATTCGGATGGGCAAACGAAATCAATGAAGGCTCACAGGCTAGAAGGATAGATGGCTTTAAGCCTGATGGTTATCTTCGAAAATGGCATGCCAAAGTGTGTGTCGTGGAGATCAAATGTCCAAGAGAGGTATCTTCCGGCAGGAAGTATATTGAAGATCTGTGGAAGATAGCTAACCTCTGTAAAGATGAGGTAGATGATACCTACATAATCTTCGGGGCATAGCTAAGATGACGGTGATTCAATTATTTGGTAATGATCCTTTTCTTTTTCTTTTTATTTTATTTTATTTTATTTCTTTTCCTTTGTACTCATTAATGTTCGCCTTCGGTACTAACCTTTGTGGAACTTTGAAATCACAGTCACCAGCTACAGTATATGCCATGGAGTACAAGGAAGGGCTGTATCATTGGTCAGCCATAGGAACAAGTTATTTACCTTGGACCGACATAATTTTGGTAGGATTTTGCAATGTTTGGAGCTGCTTGAGAGTTTGAAGGTAAGCTCCCAATTCCCTATACTTTGTTATCATAATCATGAGCAACGTCTTAATTTTTTGTTTTTTGTTTTGGCAGGCATATTTGGATGAAATATGTTTACCTTCAACTCCTCCACGAGATTCGGACGATGTTCCCATGGGAAAACCTACGAAAATTAGTCCAACGCAAAGGCCCATTCTTTTAAGATTGTAAGAAGGGTCACAGTTGTAGGTAGTTTACTATGGTTGATAATACATGCAGCTGATTAGGCTCGTTTACTGTATGGATTGCTCTTTGTCTTTAAAGATTTAATATTGGCGCTAATAAATGAATATTCAGAAAGTTTACAAAACATGGGATATGCACCCATTCTCTAATAATTGCATGTTTGACCTGTAAAACACACTCATTCATTTCTTCTTATTCACGGCATCAAGCAAAAAAAAAAAAAAAAAAAAAAAAAAAGTTTATTTATACTTCAATGAATAAATAATGTATATATAGCCCGTTTCATTTGTCATATACCTTATATTTTTTGAATACTTTCGAGTGTATTGGCAGCCAATTGGCTCGCTTGTTGCGAGTATTGTTGCAAGTCCGTCACGCAGTGAAATGCCACCAGAACAATTCAATCATCGTTTTTACATTAAAAATATAAGGTATCATGACCAAATGAAATTGGCGATATGTACAAAGATTCAAGATCCATTTTTTTATGCTTGACTTTATTTTTTTTTTTTTTTTTTTTTTTTTTTTACTTGAGTGTTGTTATCTTGTTAAGAAAAAAAAAAAAAAAAAAAAACCATAGGGCAAAACTAGAGCTCGATGATAGAACCAAGGCAGCAGCTGCACTGTTCAATGTGAGGGTATAGGTTGGACGAGAGCGAGAATTGGCTTGCAGATGGTGGTTCGGGTATAATTTGCAGGCCTATTTCGCTGCTGCTGCTTGTCATGAGAAGGATGCAGTGATGGCGATGATGCTGACGATGCTGATGAAGGGCTGGGGTCGTGACCGCGGATAGTGGTGATGGTGACGCTGCAGGCGAAGGTGAGGAAAGTAGAGTGGAAGAAGACGAGCGATGGTGTTGTTTAAATGGTGACATAAATCCTCTACTAGCTCGCGCGGCAACAGCATTCTGGAAAATGTTAATTCCCTCCCATGACGACTTTTGTTGCTGTTGCTGTTGCTGTCGCTGTTGTTCTTGTTGTTCGTTCAAAAGGCGCAAATGTTCCAAATGTTTTAGCTCCTCAGAGTCCGAAAATCGGATCGCACGAGCGCTTTCCGACCGATCGACCTTAGCTTCCAAGGATGCCAAAGTTTCTTTCAAATGGATTGACTTTTGTCGGCGAAGCCGGATAGCCTCTCTCTCGGCTTCTTCTGCAGCTGCCTTGGCAGCCAGCCGTTGTACCTCTCTTTCCTCTGCCTCTTTTGGGCTCGGATCTGAGCTTGCTCTAGCTCATGTTGGATCCTAGCCTTTTCCTGTTCTTGCTCTGCGGCAGAGATTGTAGGCAAAAGAGGGATGGATGGGATAGCTGAAAGTAGATTTGTTTCCTTTGATGAGGCGACCATGATAGCCAATGCTTTAGATAAGGCTGAAGATTGTTCCTGTCCGGCCTGACTGCTGCGTCGCTGTTGTTGTTGGGACTCTCGACGCTTCTGACGTTGTTGTTGATGGTATTGATGTTGTCGTTGCATCAGATCCAGCTGAAGCTCCAACGTTACTTTTTCCTGGCGGAGAGAATCATACCCTCTTTGAAGGACTGCGATTTGATCCATCAAGAATTCACATTTGCGTTGCTCCAAGGTCAATTCATTATCCTTGCGGGGTGCATTCACTGTGAATCGCCGGCTTGGTTTTGACCGCTTACTATTATAAGAATAGATGTAGCGGCGACAGTGGCCACAGAGGCCAAAAGCGATGACAAGGTGCTATCACACATCATCATGCTGTTATTATTCTTCACTGGGGATGATGTCGATCCTTGACGAGAATGTGGTACATGCGCTTTGTTGTTATCCCTGTGGTCAGTTGGGACAACAACATTAGCAGCTTCCTTATATTGGTTCAATTGTTGTTGAAGTCGTTGAGCCTGCTGCTGGAAGAACGTGAGCTGTGTCTGGACCTGGACATGACGGCTGCTCATCATCAAAAACAACATTTTGTAATCTGTCCACTTCTATTCTGTGTTTACTCGCTTCTTTCTCCAATTTAGGAACATCGTTGCTCTCTGAACTCTTGCTGCAGTTACTGTCTATTGACTTGACAATTTGTGTCTGTGACTGTGTTCTGCGCTTCTGGAGTCTTAGTTCGAAGCTCTTGTACCTGTTCAATCAGTTGGCGGTTTTCTAGTTGAAGACGTCCGACTTTGTCGGTGGTTTCCTGAAGTCTTTTCTGTAGCTCGGCATTCTCCTTGAAGTTCTCCTTCATTTCCAAAGACAAAGCCTCCCTCTCCGACAAGAACCCGTCCAGCTTTCTTTCCTGATCCTGCACGATAGTCTCCAACTGACGAATGTGTTCTTCTTTGAGCGCGAGAGACACCCTTACATCGTCAAGCTCGCGTTTAGTGTCCTCTAATTGTGAAAGAGTTGATTCATATTGGGCCATGATGCTCTGTGGCGGTTGTGATGGCTGAAAATCGGCTAATGATGATGACAGCGTTGAGGTGGAAGAGGGACATGCGCTTCGATGACTGTTCAGAGCGCTTCAGACGAAGCTTTAGTGTTGAGATCTCTGCCTCAAGGGCTTCACATCGTTCTTGTGATGGTGACCTTGGGAAGAAAACTGAACTGGGAGGCTCCACAGAGGACAAAGGAGGAGAAGGTAAGGATGAAATGTGATGATGGGAGCGGAAAAGTGGGGTTTGAGGAGTATGAGGGGACGATTGTGCGCTACCACTAATGCTGCTGCTACTGTTGATGGCATGCTGAGTATAGGATCCTGTCTGTTGATATTGATGCAGAAGTGTTAAAGGCTTTGTTGGACCTCTTGAATTAGAGGGAGGCATTTTTGAGAGTGGTTGATCCAGTAAGATGGGTGTCCGTGTAGACCGAATGGGGTTATGGATATTTTAGTGATAGGAGAGGGTGTTGGATGCCATGAGGCGGGCGTCAAAGGCGGACTGACTATACTCTGACTGTTGCCTGCAGAAGAGGAGAAGGAGGATGGAGAGGAAGGTGACGGTAACGATGGTGCAGCCATGACATTGTCGGAAGGTGAGCGTTGATGACTCTGGTGCTGGAACTGGTGCTGGGTTGAAAGTGAGGGATGAAAGAAAAGTGTGCTGTTTCAAGCGGCATGACTGTTGAATGTTTTTTCTGTCCTTTCCTTTTCACGTATGTTATTGTATTCAACGTTCAATCCTTCACTCCTTTTGTTCTTTTCTTGGGTACTAAGGTCTGTGAAAGAGAGGGGCGTAATGCTTAATGCTTATTTTTTTTGCTTTCCCACTTAATTTCGGATAATTAAATTCAGGGACAATCAAATGAATGGGACTAACAAAACAGCCAGTAAAATCAAAGGGTGGGGGAGAGGGTGATGAGGTGGACGATGCAACAGAAATGAGGGAATGGAGACAACGCACAGAAAAAAAAAAAAAAGAAAGAAAGAAAAGAAGAGGGAAAGAAATGAGAGGAGAGAGGAACCGAGCCCTAGTTCCAATTCCCCTACCCTATTTTGCCCGCCAGAAAGGGTGTGCAAAAAGAATCAGAGAGCCTTGTTCAAGTTCAGAGATGATTGATTATGCTGAGCAAAAGATAAATATACCTCAGCCAATTCGTTCAGTGAGTAGTGAGAGAGCCCTCAGCTAATAAAACTGTCTTTTATTTTAGGTGCAATAACAAAAAAATCTTCTTCAAGAAGAAAATTACTGGAATGGATTAGGTGCCATGTCATACAAATAATGAAAAAAAAAAATGCTGGCTCATTCATCTTCATTCAGTTTGTATAACATAATGTCGGACCAAAACCACTCTAATTGCTAATGAATATTGACCCCAGTTCTCTTTCATTGGCAGAGGAACACAAAAATGGCACGTTGTTCTTTCTCTCTCTTTTTGCTCTCAAGCACAAAAGATCAATACACAACACAGAAAGAATAAATGAGTCCACATTTTTATTTTATTTTTTTGAGGGACCTTGTACAAATGTCATTCTTCATTCTTTTGAAGTATATACAAATACATTATAATGTGAACCTTGCAATGATACATATCCTCAATAATAGTGAAACAGTTCTCACTGTGACAGCCTATTATTGGCCAGGGCTCCTTCGATCTTGTTTCTTGCTCTTGGGTCAGGTTATGATCACATACATTGAATTGGAGCGTGCGCGAAATAAAGATGAGGCCATTAAGTGTTATCTGTTTTATCAATTAGTCCCTATCATATACATATAGCAAATATGACAGGACTGAGACAAGGACAAAAGAGCAAAGCGCTAGAGCAGGGACAGGGGCAGGGACAGGGACCGGGAGGAGGGGACCAGTACAGTGGTATGCTTCGGTTGAGGGAAGAGACACCTGCACGCTAGTCCCAATTTCGCCTTCTAACTAAAACGAGCGTCTTCGTAGCAACATCACAAGGAACAACATCCCGGTATCAATGACAGGTGCTCTCATCGCGGAGCTGAACGACAGTAATCATGCATACGAGATTCATCCGAACAGATCTATTTTGCAGCCACCCATAGACAAGTCTTTTTGTTGTAACAATGGGGCCAAGCAAAGTTTTGAAATGCTTTTCCTAGGAGACAATGCTTTAGCCAAATGCTTTTTTATTATTGTACAATCTCCTTGCTATTCTGGAGAGAAGTTTAAAGCAGTTATCATCCCAGGTCCGTTCATCCAGAACTTTGCACTCATGGGCTTATAAAAAAGATATTGGGCAGTTAATCCTTTTCATGATAATAGCTGTTCTTTAAATTTTTAATTTTGTGAACGCGATGCTGTCAAATATTCTGATTGGTTGGGAGAATAAATTACATTGTCAAAAAATTTGAAAAATGAAAGATGTTGATCAGACATTTACTCAAATGGTGCTGTGTCCCTAGGCTATCCTATGCTTTATCAAAACACTCGTAGATCATTTATACTCGTGTCTTTCCATCTTTTGCCTCTCTTGAAATTATTTATATACAAATCTCGGTAAAAGTATGCAGTTATTAAACAGCCCCTTGGTATATATGTACATATTCATGTACATACTTCCCATTTAATGCATCATCGGCTTACATTTTACAATCCGCAATGTTCATTCTCAAAACGTTACATTTGTTGACACAATAAGCTAGCTACAGACCTCCCTACAGACCATGTAATAAAATGCGGAAGGTACTGTACGAAGTGGCCTTTGATCCGATGTATCTAATTTTGTGCGCATGCATTGGATCAAGGGGAAGGCCTGTTTGAATGTATTAAATGTACAATATCCTTCAAAATTACAGTCACCCTTTATTTATTTGTAAAGAGAGGCATAGTAATGCAGCAAAAAAAAAAAAAAAGTATTTTCAGGGGTCTTTTCGATCTTTCCTGTCGATTTTTTTTTATAGAAGGAGACAAGATACATTCATCAATTCTAGTATCAACCTTTACAGGATTTTGTAAAGGTTAATGGAATACACTGCCATTGATTGGCTGTCCTGATTTCAGAAAAAAGCGCTGCTACTTGTAAAAAGAATGAGTAGACATAGCGCCCTTCTCGGCCATTCTCTTTATGATGAGTGAGGGCGTATGACCATTGAGAAGATCTGCTGCAAGATCTTTGTCAAGATTAAAGTGAATGAGAACAAGGCAAGGTAAAAGTCAGCTGAAAAGATTGAGAGGCTGAGAAAGCCAAAAAAAAAAAAAAAAAAAAGTACTTGGACAAATATGAGAGATATTTGTTCTAAGGATTCATTTTGCTCCGGCTTATCACCACCATTATGACTTTGATTAGTATTCCTTAATATTTTATTCATCTAACTTGATCATATTCATCTGAACAAAGAAAGGATCCTGCAACGATACGCATGTCTCAAGTATGAGATAGCCATTTGACTTGATAAAGTATGTAAGATATAGAACTATGAAAGAGGCTCGTAAATGGCGACAACTGAATGTGCTCTTCGCCAATCAGAATCCTCTGACACCATTAAAGCCTACATTTCAAGGAAATAAATGTCACGTCCTTTTGGGTGTGCCTACCATGATGGGTACGTAAAAGAGCGTTCAAGTATCTGCTTACTATGATATTATTGTATCATTTCATTGTTGTTGTTATTGTTCGTGTGGCTACGAATTGGAAACAGTGTTATAAAATAAGTCAATAGCCACACATGAAAACCACATTGCTGCTATGTTATTCTTTATTTATATTTCACAATCCATTTTGAAAGAAGAAAAGTGTTTTTTTTCTTTTTTTTTCTTGGGATGGTAACAGCAAAATGATTCAAAATGATTGCTTGCTTCGGATATGTAGTTACGGATGTTAATGATAAGGATGGCAAGCAGTTAATATTATACATATGAAAATGGCTGCTCACAATTAAGGAATATTCCAAATGAAATAATATGTAATACGGAACATTCAATATGATCATTTTACTGACGTGATGCGTGTGTGGTTGAGAGTCTAAAGGACATTTTGTCTATGCTCGACAATGGGTGCTCATCGCTTTCCAGTCTAAAAAAGATATTAAATGACTATTTACATGAGGAGCTTTTTGTTTTGTTCAATGTCTATATATCTTGGTCAATCTATGTCTTTTTGCCTCTGCCTCTGCCCATGTCAACTGTGTCTCTATCCATACTAATACGATGTTTCAAATCGTCAAATTAACCACTGATTTTTGGGGCGTTTGTTTATCTTTGCCCAATAGCTGTAGTCAGATCAATTAGACAAACGAATATGAGTGTAAGAGTCTCAATCTGTTTTGTTTATTTGTTGATCGAAAAAATTAAAAAAGGGGGAAAGAGGAGAGAGGAGAGAGAGGGAGAGGATGTTCAAGCGGACGTCGCGTGGCACATGGGAAAAACATGAAGTCTTTGTGCATGGTTGCCAGCCTTTTTGTGTCTTGTGCTATGTGTTTTGTCTTTTGTAGCACAGTTGACGATGCAACTCGTCATTGTCTTTTTTACTTTATTTTTCACATTAGTTTACTTGCTTTGGCAAGGAATGTGGCCCTGCTCTTCAGGAACGGAAACAGTTTTAATTGAGAAGAGTGTAAGTCTGCGCATTGCATCAATTGCGTCGTTGATCATCTTTTGTTGTTCCTGGACCTGTTTTCCCACTTTCCCACTTTCCCACTTTACCACTTTCCCCATTTTGCTGTAAACTATACTTTCGCATGCAATTTATCTCCATAGTCTATTCCTTCAAATGTCATCCAATGAAATGTTACATATGCTTTTGCCTCGCTGGTGGATCTTCAACTCTTGAGATATATTTGCATTTCTGTCCTATTCTCTCTCTCCTCTCTCTCTCTCTCTTTTTTTTTTTTTTTTTGTGCATGCATGCATATTTAACTATCAGCACTACCGTTATCACGAAAAAATTATGCAGCCCATCGAGCAGGGTCATACATTACATATTTGAATAAAGGCCCATTGTTGCACAGGATCAGGAGAAGCTGTTTCATCTTGTCAAGGGGAAAAGGTTCCTTTGACGACATTTGTGACAAGTCCTCTGTTGGGAACGTGCATAAATGTAGAGGAAAAAAAAATGTACTCTGTGACAGGTAGTGGTTTGGATGGTCGCAAGAGAGGGGAGGGGAAGAAAGAGCAGTGATGCAATGGCGACGTGGACAGGGGAGATCCATTTGTTTACACCTTTTTGGGCTACAAAGAAACGGGTACAGATACCTTTTTGCAACTTTGCGCTGAAGTAGAGGAGGAAAGAAGTGGGAAGGGAGGACAAAGGTCCCCTAGCCGGAGATGGGATGGGATACGGAATTAGGAGGAAGCGTAAAACGTAAAGCGAAAAGGTGTGAAAATTGGCTCAATTGCCCTTTTCTACGTAAACACACCATGACATTAGTTATACAACCACGGCTCCTTTTTTCGCGTCTTTCCTTGACGCGCTCACCTAATCTAATCGCTCACTCTCACATCTTTTTTTTTTTTTTTTTTTTTTTTTCGCGACATTGTCATCCGAAGAAGGATTTACGATGTCGCATGACAAAAAAAGATGTAAAATAAGTTTGCCCTTTAGTTCAAGATTAATAAAGGAAATAAAAAAAAAACAATGGAATTGAACCTTTCTCCTTTTTTTTTTTTTTTGTACATGGAGTAATTTGCATGCATCCGTCATCATTGCACCTTGAGGCTCTCTTTGGAATTCGCACACACAGCATACAACATGATACACTAACATTAATGAAAATACAAAGAACATCAGCACATTGCATTATAATCATTGTAACTGTCCTTCATTCTTTCATTCTTTCATTCTTTCATTCTTTCATTCCCTTTTATTTTATTTAATTTTTTTTGTCTAAAATTATTTTCTTCCCTTTTCTTACTGTAATTTTTTTTTTTTACTTTTTTCCCTTGCTTGACTGACACAGTCCAGTAAATAGTCCCATTTATTATTATCGTTTAATCGAGCCAATACCTTGTATCTTCTTGGTTGTAATAACATTCTCCCCACTCCACTTTCTCTCTTCCTTTCCTCTTTTTTTTTCTTTTTTTTTTTTCTCAATAACCTTCAATGTAATGGTCTGCTTATTCCAGCCTAGCCTCTAGCTCTCTGTCTAGCCTGCATTCTCTCTCTTCCTTCCCTTTTCTGTTGTTTGTTTCTTTTTACTTCGTCCTTCTCTGTCTATATCTTTTCTCTCTTCTTCACTCTTATTCTCACTCCCACTCTCACACACTCTTTTTTTTTTTTATTTTTTTTTATTATTTTTATTTTTTATTTTTTTATTTTTTTTATAAATATATATATAAATATACATATTTCTTTTTTTTGTAGTGTGTGTAAGGTTGACTTTGCTCCCATTGCAATTACTCCATCTCTCTTTCATTGCGATCCCAACAGAAATATGACACACAACAATGTACAAACACGCCAACGGAGTAGGAGTGGAGCCTTCTCCTCCTTTTTTCTGATAATAACAGGGATTCTACCCGCTATGGGTCAACAAGTCCACACCCCCCTCTTCCTCCACCTTCACTCCACACCAGTATGTCTACCACAACATCCAATCCCTTCTCTCATGCACATTCAAGCACAAAAACAAACACCAGTACATTGTCAGATATCCCAAATGCCAGGTCCAGTACCAGTACCAATACCAGTACCAGTATCACCACCGCATCTTCTCCTCTACTTCACAAACGCAACAGTCACGACCGTTCACTCGCTTTTCTCCGACCTGGCAACGGGATCGGTGGCAATCGAGTTGCCACCAGAATGCGCTCAGGTTCCAATCACATCCACCGCTTTATCGAGATCAATCTCCCTCTTCGCTCTCTCAGAAACACTCTACTTCAACGACGTGCTCATCGAGAAAGTAGTGACAGTAGCATCAGTAGTAGCACAACTGGAAACGACTCCACTCATATCAATGATTCATTTTCCCGATCTTATTTGACTGAGAGGAGGATAATGTAATAAGCTCGAGCCAGTCCAGGTCCTAGCACAACAGGAGAACCCTGGAATGGAAACGGCATTACTGAGGGGTTTTCAAAGACAAGAGCCAGAGCCTCCACCAGTTCTGGTTACAACGCACGAGATCAAGGACCATCTGAGTAGCACTCAGTTTTTTGGCCAATTCAGCCTTGTCTGAACGGTTGAATACAACCACAAAAGCACCCTCACCAGTATCACCACCATCGCTATCGCCACGGACGCAGACGCAGATGCAATCACACTCGATCTCAGTGCCGTCAGCGTCTTCTCCTCTAGTCGGATTTCTTCACCAAGTCCAAACCAAACATGACGTCGTCTATTTCCATACCCAATGTACCAATGCCTCCAGCTCCGCGTTATTCCACAAAACCTATTCTAGTCCCTACAACTTCAACCTCAACCTCACAAACGTCCCCCGCTAATGCTACTAATCTTTTTACTGCCACCACTGCTCCAGCTACAACTACTTCTATTACTACTACTGCGGCTAATGATAGTTGTATCACGGGGACTAGCGCAACAGCCACATTGCCTTCAACCAACTCAACTGGTCCAACAACGAGTGCGCAAAGCAATGGTACTTCTGCTGTTCCAACAACGACAGCAATTGCCTCTAATGTGGACGTGGTTGGAAAACGACTACGGGAGCAACAACTTCAGGACAGATTCAAGGCTGCACAGAATTTTATTGAGCGGACAGTGGGTCAGGCCTTGCCTTCAAGCGACCTGCACGAGTCACTGAAGGATGGAGTTATTCTCTGCCGGTAATTGATATTTTGACTATTTTAAAAATCCTAGTAACGTTGTCCGGTATCCCTGCATTTTTTTTTTTTTTTTTTTTTTTTTTTTTTTGACTCCTGTCTGTGCCATCATTGTGCCCACTCTATCCTCTCTCCTTTCTCTTTTACCCCCATTTCTTATGCAAAGTTATTGGATACACTGTGTTTAACCTCACATGTTTCGGTATAAATGATTTTTTAGACTGGCGAATCGACTACGACCGGGCACTGTCGAACAAATCAGTCTGAAAAACCTCCCCTTTGTCAAGGTAAGACCAGCGGCAAAATGGCTGACAGGCAAGCAGGCAATCAAAAGGCGAGCAGGAGTGACATTGCAATCTACAACAACGAGGATAATTATAGGAGTGCACAAAAAATAAGAAAAACAAATATCCCAAAAAACAAAAAACAAAAGACAAAAAACAAACAAAATAGGGCTTGCGGCTGTAAATAGGTAGTATGCTTAGCAAAAAAAAAAAAAAAAAAAAAAAAAAAAGAAATCGACAATCACATCACTGTTCCCGGTTCAGAAAATCTATTGTTTGTACTCAATGACAGATTTTTTTTGGCCTGGGATGAGCTAATGGCAAACTATAAGGCATGCAGTTACATATCAATGCCAGTAACTTGCCTACCGTTCGTGATGTCTTTTTTTTCCTGTCTTCTATGATCGGTCTGCTAGATGCCTATTATAGTTCAATACCTTAGATCTTGCACAACTCATGACTCTTGTCTTATTTTTTTATTTTTTATTTTTTATTTTTTTCATGTATGTTTGAAATGTTGTTTAGATGGAGAATATCAGCAACTTTCTGAACGCAGCAAAACAGGTACAGACGCTTTTTGTGGAGTTAATGGCCGCGATATACATGATCAAGTTCATAATTGATTTCAGATGCGTTAGCATGCGCACACAATGGATGTGATCAGAATCGCTGAGCAGCCTTTTTTTTTTTTTTTTTTTTTTTTTTTTTTTTCTCATTCTTACATAGCTTGGCGTACAGAGTTCAGATCTGTTTCAGACCGTTGATCTTTATGAAGGCAAGGACATGAATCAGGTACAATTAGCGCACGTATGGACATTGCATAGTTTGTGGCAAATGCTTTCGAGTTCATGCTTTAACGCATTATTTTGGTCCGATATAGGTGTATCAACAATTTTGACGCTGGAGCGCGTAGTTGGTGGAGTAGCACGGATAGTAGCCAAAGAGAAGCGTCCTGGACCAAACCCGCTCGTATCATCTGGATCTGCATCGTCGCAAATACCAAAAGCAACAGATAATGGTGCGCCATTAACAAGGATGCGATAAAAGACTGCGCACACACCGAGCGCTGTATCATTGTCGTCATCGTCTTCGATGCGATCCTCATCATCATCCTTTTATGCGGCCCAAATTAAAAAATGGAGGAAGATAGTATCCGGTTTGCAACTGGATATGATCGTCTAGAAATTCGCAGAATCTCTATAATAAGCTAAAAGATACCCGCCATCAAAGCACCCCCCTTGTCATGAACAAACAAGCGCCCTCGCTACCTGTTAAAGCAAAGAGGTCTCCTCGTCATCGTATCGCTACCGTAGGTGACATTGATACAGCAGTAGCGGACATAAGCTTTGGCAGTGACGAGAGTGAAGCTCAATCTTCTTCGCAGCTCGAGACAGCTGAGGATAGACAACGACGCGCGATTTGGTTTTTGGCAGTAGTGGCTCACCTCATTGTTTGAACAGACCCGATCTTCACTTGCTCCAAAGTCAGTTTCAGGACCTCTGTTTTTAGCAGACGGAAGCATATTGACATCATCATCATCGTCGGCAGCGGCAACGATGGATTAGCGCCAGCAGGAGGAAGAAGAAAAGTATATCATTAGACCCTCAGGTTGCGAATGCTGTTATACCACTCCAGGCTATCGGAATGGTTTAGCTAGCCCCAGCAGCCCCCTTGGCTTGACTCAGTCCTCTTCCTACAACGCTATTTCTAATATGACAAACACCAGCCCTGGTGGCTACTCAAATTTGAAGCAACACTCACGGTATTCATCTGAGAAGACTAATGTCACTGCTCTGGAGGCTTGGGATCCCCTGTGTCCTCACGATCAACTACACCAGTGCAAGGCCTTCGAAAGAGCACCATAGCATCGAGCCTGTCCGTGAGGAGCTGGAACTTTGGGAGAACGACGAAAAAGTAGCGACATATGTAAGAAGACCAATGAAAGGGAGCAAGGATATGAAGAAGTGGCATGTTTGGCTTTAATATCGCGTTAACCTAATACTTTTATTTATGCTGGTCATATGTAGAAACTTGGAAACTGTATTGGAAGGGGACAGTTTGGCTCTGTATATAAGTAAGTTGTTTTGTTTGTCTGACACTTTGCTCGGTTATTATTGGGGCCTATTAATCATTATGTTTATTTATATCATTTAAACTAACTTCATACTCGATGTATTTGATAACAATTGTAGAGCGATGAATATGGTGACAGGCCAGATGGTTGCAGTGAAGCGGATCAAGATCGATGGGCTGAAAGATGAAGAACGGGACATGTTGATGCAGGAAGTAGATTTATTGAAGTCACTTGCTCATCCATCAATTGTCAAGTATGAGGGATTTATTAAAACAGAGGACTATCTCAACATTGTCCTGGAGTTTGTTAGAACGGTTCGCTCTTGACAACACTCAAATCCTTTGGGGCATTTCCCGAAAAGCTCGTAGTCGCATATGTGGTCAAAATCCTGGAAGGACTTGTTTATCTTCATGGCAAAGAGGTAATTTTATTATTTTGTATTGAAAGTAGACACTGAATGTATGATTTGTGTAAAGTAGTCTGAAATGACGCAAAGGAGATTGTCTACTGATTATATGGTGGGTTTTTATTTTATGGCATTTTTAGGTTGTTCATTGTGATCTAAAGGCTGCCAACATTCTCACAACTAAGAATGGAAACGTGAAGCTTTCAGATTTTGGAGTATCTCTTAATCTCAAGGTGAAGGAGTCTGACTTTGGTGCTGTTGCTGGAACACCTAATTGGAGTATGTTGATCGAATGCAATAGTCGTTATTGGATTGGCCTTTACAAAGCTATGGGATTGTTTAATTTCCGATTACATCTTGTCCTTCTCTCTCTAATATCATTTCCCTTTTTCTTCCCTTTTTTATAAATTTTCATTAGTGGCACCGGAGGTGATTGAGTTGAAAGGTGCCTCACCAGCCAGTGATATCTGGTCTTTGGGATGCACAATCATTGAGATGCTGACGGGACGGCCTCCTTATGCAGATCTACTTGCAATGACAACTTTGTTCCGCATTGTAGAAGATGAGCGACCGCCATTGCCCAGTGACGTGTCTGCAGACCTATTGGATTTCTTATGCCAGTGTTTTCAAAAAGACCCAGCGTTGCGGCCCAGCGCAGGAGATTTGGGTCGCCATGTTTGGATTAAGCGTAATTTTGCAGCAAAGGTTAGCATAGGACAAACATTTTGCTCGTTTCCCATTGTCAATTTGTAAAAACGGCTTGGTAGTCTAATGCGAAAAGGTTATCTATTTATTCCATTCTTTCAGGAACTTAAGCCTATGGACAGTTTACCATTTATGAAGCGTAAACTGCTGGAGCCAAAGGAGAGAGTCCTTGCATCAACGCAAGAAGAAGGCAAAGAAAATGGAGCGGCTGCTAGAAGGTCTCTAACGCCACTTGGGCTCTCTTCAGGAACAGCTACAGGGCCACCACCGGCTGTATCTCCTAACGTTCCACTGCAGGCAAGTGGAAGTGGCGTAGCACTCGACGAGGAAGCGTTGACAGTGCTGGTGCATTTTATGCTTCTTCGACTGTTCCAGCTCCGACCGTTCTCCATGATCGGTATCAGGAAATGAACCGAATGAGCGGCAAGGCAACCAATCAGCACCAGTTTGTTAAGAGTTCATTTGCAAAACGTAATGGAGATTTCAATTATGTTGGAAGCTGTAATATCTTATTGATACGTACTGTTCCTGAATATTCTTACTGATGCTACTTTCTTTTATTCTATAACCTCTTAAAGCTGTGGAGTGTAGATTGTGCCACGATCACGTGAAGAAGCAGGCTGTAATCTGTCAAGGTAAAGTCGGTGCTCAATAGAATGGCTTATAAATGTGAACATGGCTGGAGAGATAGAAATGGTGCTCATTTTTTTTTTTTTTTTTTTTAAAAAAAAAACTCTCCTTATGACTCCTTAGATTGCAGTATGGTATTTCACCGAAAATGTCAGTTCTATGTCGGTAATACATGTTTTCCGGGTCCACATCTCTCTTATTTCCAGTCAGGCACACCTGTTCCATCCTTGCCCAACCTGAAAGTACTAGCGAATGGAAAAGTCAAAGGAGGCAGTCGTCCCAGTTCCAGGGCTTCACAGTTGAATGTGGATGACCGATCACGATCCGCAACTCCTTCTCAAGGTCTCTCACCACGACCCTGTCCAACACCTCCGCTCTCAATTTTCAGCAAACGTGAGACGACCACAATCAACGAAAGCTCAGAGCATAGTAGGTTATTTCCCCTGTACCTCCACTGCCATTACCTCAGCTCCCCTTGACTTCTGTTCAGCGTACCATGTCCCCTGAAGGGTACCTGACCCTGCGGATCCATACAACAGTCAGAATCAGATTCAGGGCCAATCAATGCGACCACCAAGCCGCCAATGCGATAGCCCTACATCACCGACGTTTTCAGGACTCCGCAACTTGATTTCAGGAGGGGAGGAGATTCTCGTTCAGTAAGAAAGGCACATCTGCATCAAATGCCCATCCACTCCCAACGCCACCTACGTCGTATAGCTCTAATCCTACGCCATCTGCTGTCGCTTCTTCCACTGTACATGTACGACAGCAGGCTGGGACTCCAGACTCTAGCAAGACACCTCGGCAACCTCCTACGACACCACCAAAAACACTTCCTGTCCCGATCACAGGCAACAATAAAACAATAAAGTTAATTTGAATGACTCCGCGGGCCGAAAATATCGTGGGCGTCTATATCATCCTGGGCCTGGACCGTTGGATCCATTGGATGATAATGACATTAATGTGATTGGCCATTTCAGTCGAAGCCATCAAAGACCAACTCGATCAATATTTTCTCTACAAGTGCGCCACCAGTTTCATACGGACTATATGGCGGTAGCGGGAAGAAGGTTAGGAGCAGGAGCAGAGTTCTGGGAAGCCGCCATAGCGCGTCGTCGTTGAAAAAGTATGGTGACGATGAGTTTGATGGAAACGATGAACAAGAGCAGAAAAGAGTGGACAGCGATGATGATGCCGAAATGGCCATGATGGCATTGATGATATGGAAGAGAGGATCTGGAAGGGATGTTAATTCCTTCGTGGCTAGAACACCACGTTCGAGTGTCGATGCTGGACATCCTGTTGTCGTTACTAACGGTGTGGACACCTCGAGTCAATAGCCACCAATCCTTTGGCCAGGCATTGAGTCATAAACAAATGCAGCTAAGCCGGGAGCCACCGTCGCCACCGCCACGACTACCGCGATCAAACATAGCCGCTTATCACCAAAATGATTTTCCTAGGCCTCACTCAGGCGCAAAGTCACCAGCTATGCGAAAGTGTCTTCAGCAAACCCAACAGTCACAACAGCAACCTTCACTTTCTGGTGGTGGACGCAGTCAGCTGAATAGTGGATACAGCTCTTCTGGGTCCTCTTCTGCAGCGTTGACGTCGTCTTATTCGTCAACTCAATCGAACAATAGCTCGTCTGCTTCATCTCTGGGTTCGGTTGCAGCATTGCTGGAAGAAGAAAACGGGCGATGAAGGAAATTCAACAGCAACAGTATCATTCTGGAGGGGCTCGGTCCAAGAATGCAATGCTCAATGTCCCCACAGGATTTCATTTGGCAACACAGCCTCGAGAGGCTCATCACGTAGGCATTCGGACCATGCTCAACCGCTTCTCGGCTTCAAACAAGGATCACACAACACGGTTATGACCGCCGCTGAGTGTGCATGACAAAGAAAAAAGAAAAGGAGACACAGCTGTTGCAACAACATCGCGATATTTCCAACAAGAGTCCATTAAATGCATATAATAACATCAACAGTATGTCTACAGGAGCAATCAAGCACCAGATCCAAGCTCCTACACAATACCAGCAGCTTCATGGCCAGGCTCTTGCTGGAGTAAGATCAATTCATCCATTACAGCAGCAAACATCAGACACGATTGCCAGAAGCACGGATGTCGAACTCAACAGAGTTCGATAACATTGTCGGGCAGAGAACAAAGTTTGCTCAGGGGTATGAATTGAGCCACCACCAACTTGAGGCAGCGAATGGAACATTATTACAGAATGCAACAAACGCATGGAGAGCTTCATCACCTGGTGGGATCCATTACTCAGCAGATTCCACTTCTTCATCTACAATTTTACCACCGTCGTCTTCATCACATGCCAATGGTTTGGTAGGAGGAGGAGCAGAGGCTGCTTTGTCGGCCCTCAAGAGGGGTCGTAAGGTCATTCGGCGAAGTATGGGTGCAACTCTTGAGAAAGAGCACTGGGATTAAGAAACCAAATCATGTCCCATGACGAGCAAAAAAAAAAAAAAAAAAAAAAAAAAAAAGATCGGTATGGGCATGATATGATGCCATTTATTTAACCAACATTCACCATTCCATTCCAGACTGGACATCAATTAATATCTATTGTACTAATACTTGTAATGATAACGATAATGATAATGATAATGACAATAAAAGATACATTTCCTTTTTTTTTTTTTTTTAACTAAGAATTGGATAATTTTATGCTCTAGTTTTGTTTTTCCACATAATTTCAATACCACTATTTTCGCCTTTAACAGGATTTTGATAGTCAGCAGAAGAAGAAGATGCTGATGCTGATGCTGATGCTGATGCTAAAGATGATGGATGCCGGGTATTTTCCTGTTGTTGTTCTAATAGCTGTCTTTCTTTTCCTTCTCTTGCAGTCCGTCCGGTGAATTCTTGCCATCCTTCATTCACCATCTTCTCTTCCGTCTCCTCCTCTTCTTCTTGATAGTTGTCAATGTCGAGGGATCCTGTATGGATGCTGAGAGGGTTTGATCTGAGGTACCAGTGTTTAGGTCTGTATCTGTACCTGTATTTATCGGTCTAGAGTGATCTGTCAAAAGTGATATGAGGGGACCTTGTGATGATATTGATGGAGCATCTGTGGTGGTAGTAGCGGTAGACGACTGACTTGCATGATGATTCTTTTTGTTCTTCTTTTCGATAACATGAAAATCTTTGCCTTGACGACGTTGTTGATCCAATGCTTGGGCACGTTTTTCATCGACGACCTGCCAAGGAACAAATGCAGGTGCTGCGACAGTGAAGACGGCCCCGACCGCGACAGTGAAGAAGAGTGAAAGAGTGATTCGCTGTCGCTGCAACAGCGTGAGCGGTCGCATTATTTATTCTTTCTCTCTCTTGTCAATTTGTGTAAGAAATGGATATGGGGCTCCCGATAAAGAAATGTAGAATGGGTTTTTATATCCCGGTTGGTTTTGAGTGTCGTGTATAAAGTAAATAAGTATGTTATATAAATATTTTTAGCTGATCTGAATCCTTCGGAGGTTTCCTGAATTCTTTTTAGATCTTGCTTTGGTCAATGATTCACTCAAGAAGCATTGATGAAATTAGCCTAGTGTTTCGGTTTTTGTCTTTTTGTTGTCTTGAGAACTGAGCAGGATGATCCAGCGATGTTGGGGTCAATGAGAGTAATTTTCTACTTATTACTTTGTAACTTGAAGTGATGCCGGAGAAGAGAGATTGAAACTGGATGCCATGTGTCATGTGACTAGATCATCAACCACAATAGTGAAAAGTGAATGAATGTCTATCAATATTGATAAATCAAAACGTTATCTGTCCTTAAACAATGCATGTATGTATCTTTCATTTTAGACATTGTTCTATGGGTATGTTGTTTAATGGGCCTTTTGTTCTTTCTCCAACGGACTTGTTCTTCCTTCGGACAAAGCTTTCTTTATCTCTTACCTTGCCAGGATAGTTCTTATTGTTTTCGAAAGAATGTGTGCTTTGAACTTGTGCGGGTGAATGAATAGCCATGGCCTGTATTTTTATCTTGGTTGCACACATTAAATTCACCTCTCTGTTTTCTTGGCAGGAATGATCTTTTTTTTTTTTTTTTTTTTTTTTCTTTCGCTAAATGGCATTCTCATGAACTTTTATAATTCTATTATTTATACTCCTCTCTCCACCTTCTACCTCGCTCTTGATAAAAAAAAAAATAGAAAAAAAAAACTCATTCACGTACATTCATATTCATATTCACATTCACGTTCACATGTTCATTGTGTTCTGTCATTGAACGTTTTTAAAAGAAAAAATTGCCTTGACAAAGAAAAAAAAAAAATGAAACTGTCACACAGTGTCCTCTCGTTTCCTTTTCTTCCTTCCACTCGTCGTCAACGCTTTCGGCGGCAACTACTTCGTATGAAGTCCTCTATTCAACATACTCTCTTTCCCCCCTTTATCTTATCCACTTCATCCAAACTATGTCTGCTATTGTATTGGTTTACCCTGTGAATCCACAGAATGCGCGCTGTAAAGGCTCTTATCGATACAACAGCAACGATAACAAGTTCGATGGAGATTGCAGATGCTACTGTTCCTGCTACAGTAATAGCAGCAGCTAATACCAATTTGGAACAGCAACAACAACATCAACAACAACAGAAACAGCAACATCTTCACTACTACTTCCTTCCTCGACGCCCACGTTAATAATCCCACTTCAATGCCAGGATTGTATGGGTCCCAACAACACCAATATCAATAATATGACTTGTTACAAAAACACACGTGCATTCCATTACAATACCTTTGCGACAACAACAGCTTCCAAAACGCCTGTACAGATATAGTAGATACCCAAGACCCCAATGATGATCAAGATTATGATAATGGTCCGATTCTCTGCCAGGATCAACTCTGTGTAGCAGCCAATTTCTTGCCTCTACCTTCGCCTGGATCAGGCAAGATGAGTCGAAGCAGTAGCTCGGATTGTCTGATAGGCAACTATTACTCACTCTTTGGATCAATACCAAGTACACTCAGTCTTGTGTAGAAGCATCCATAATTATTATTATTTATAGTAATAAGAACCAACGGCGACGTCAAGTAGCGTGATGGTGTCAAGCGTGGAATATTTTGTTCAAGGATCTTGCTTTTTAAAGCACTTTGCCCAGGTTGGATTGTCGACCACCGTTTGTATGTCAAAGGACGGGCTTGGATCAGCTGTACGGGATTTGTGTCGATGGTTCAGAGAGGACGGAGCGGAGATGGCGGAGGCAGTGGATCATCACCAGCTGGAGGAGCGACCACAAAGTATTCTGCACAGGAGTATCTTGTTCAGGGGCTTTTGATCGGATATGTTGTTTAGCGTTGGGGATTGGACTCGGAGTCGGGTTTTGGGCACTATAAGCGGAAACGATTCACATCACGATGGATGGGTCACATATGTGAACAAACAGGAACAGCGCGTACACTTCACGGTTACACTACGACACGTGCTCGATCTCGTACTCAAGCCTGTGATTCTTCTGCTTCTGCCTCTACTTCCGCTGCTACAGCTACTGCCTTTGCTTCTGCTTCTGTTGGCGATAGGGCAAAAAGTTGGATCTCATCTCTATTGGTGTCATTGTAGGGGAAAGCGACCATTACAAGAGACAGCCAATTCAACTAGGATAACCCATTGTCGTTATCGTCTTAGCTGTTGTAGCAATGGATAATCGCGATTCCATAGCAGAGTCTATTATTACCCAAAGCAGTGATATCTTTGTGAACAACAACAGCCGCAATAACCGATGGCGTTGGCGATGGGGCGTGCCTTCACTCAATAATAATAGCAACACGGGGTTTATGTTTACTAGATGTTTTGGTCCTGGAGGAGCTACTCTCTATCCAGAAATGGAAACCGCCCCCATGTATCAGAATGGACCTGATCTTCCGAGTTATCATGCAGCAATGAAGGGATTGCAATGAACACAATTCATAGTGGAGAAGGAGAAGGAGAAGGAGGAGAAAGAGAAGAAAGAGGGGAAATAGAGAATAATAGTCTTCAAACAAGTCCAACGACACAGAGACTTACTCGACCAAGATCTGCATCTGGCACAACAGCAACAGTAGCAGCAAACGACAGCGACGACAGCAGCAACCGCATCAACGTTGAGATCAGTTGAACCAGAAATGCCACCACTAACTCTGGTCAAGGCGTTTGATCAAGAGAATGCCCAGGCAAGTTGCGCATGTAGTACTGCGCACAATGAGGGTAATGTCATGGCTGTACCATCTACTTCACACCCACGCCCTCCTCCTCCCTCCTCTTCTTTAAGCATAAGTCGTTCTGTCTCTCAACAATCTCGGCAGTCTCGCGGTCTCAGTGATCGAGCTTGTCTGCAAACTAAAAGCCTGACAAAGAAATCAGAGAAATGGGAAATTTGGAATATAGTATAATAATTAGATACCCTGTTGGCTTTTTTTTTTTTTTTTTTTTTTTTTTTTTCAAGAACAACCATCTGTCTTCTGTAAATATAACATCTGTACATATTCTCAAAATATAATTTTAACCCATCATTTAGAATAATTTTTAAACCATCATTATTATTATCATACTATTATATATACAAAATGAGTTATGGTGATCGCTACTATTACTTGTAAACACTTTACTATTTAACAATGTTAATGTGGTATCAAAGATTCGCAGTTTTTTTTTTTTTTTTTTTTTTTTTTCTTCACCGACTAGAAGCAATGGCGACAAAGATGGCCAAAAAGACAAAGCCAAAAGTCAAAAGGGAGCAAGCGAAACTAGCCTTACTAGGGCCTGGGATTGACTCCTCCGAGTAAAGATTAAAGAGTTCCGGCAACCTTGGACCTGTCGAAAGCGCAAATGTCTCGACCTCTGGCCTCAGACCATGTAAGACTCGAATGACTGCCCTTCGTTTGCGGAGGCTGATAGGAAATGAAGATGACCATCGAGGGTCATTGGGGGATGATTCAGAATGCTCGTTTGGGTGGTAGGAGGGAGGAGGAGGAGAAAGGCGACAGATTAATGTAGCCTTGCTGTGTATTTGCGCGCAATGTCATCATTGCAGCATCCGCAGCTGTTGATTGAGATTGACCGCTGCTAAGGGGGTCTGCCCCTAAGGATCTGCTTGTTGCCCTTCCCTGTCCTGCAGGTTGGATATCACTGACAGTGGATCTTCTGATCTGTCATTGTCGGGGATGATCCAAACTTCTGCAACGGGCCCGCCTTTGACACGCTGGCCCATGACCAAGAAATCATCTCGAGCGAGAGTAAATAGACGCCTTGCAGGCGTTTCCGGCACTGAAGGCATAGTATAATTTATTCCTGTCGTTGCTATTCTAGGGGTGAAGATGTTTCCTTGGCCTCGATTGTGCTCTTGGCCTTGAGAAGTAATGCTTTTAAGGCCATCAAAGCGCCCAAAAGCTGAGCTATTTGCCTGTTCAAATGGTGGTGGCGGTGGTAACGGGGTTGTGTGCTCGAAATCGGCCGAACCACTCGACGAGATGCTTGCGTGGTGCCACATTCTTCTCGCCAAGCATAGTGTTGTCCACGAATGCGCATCGATATCTCCATGGATTCTCGATAAGACGGCTTCAAATCCAATGAAGATTTTAATCGCTCAATCAGACTCATCCTTTTCCCTCTGGATCGCTGATAGTAGTTGCTGTTGCTCCTGCCTTTGCTGAAGCTTCTTTAGCCTTCTCTGTTCTGCCTTTTGGCTTTATTCTCCTTGGAATAATAATCCAGCCGTGTCCGCCACCACATGACCACTCTCCATGTGAGCTTTCTTGTCGACATTGTTGAAGATTGGTATCATGATGAATTGACCACCAAATCCATGTCTGTGGATCTTCAGCTATACAAACGCGAATGAGGGTCTTTTGAAAATTCAGATGTCAATGCGTTATTGAATAGGTTATTGTCACTGCCATTACGATTAGCCTGATCCAGTCCTAGGCTCAATTGGTGTGCCAGGATCGTATCCTCCTTTCACCTTCGTACCCATCGTTGACCTGAACATGCTGAACCGACGGCAGGGGCCTCGCGTTTATGGATGTTCGCAGTAGTGATGATGTTGGGGATGAGGGTGGCGGTAATGGCGTTGGCACCACCACTGTCGATGTCAATATTGGTGTTGCCAAGGACGAAGGATTTACCTGTAGTTCTGACCCTGCGGACGCTTGGCTTGTGTCTGCTGAAGCAAGAACTTCTTCTGTGACATCTGCTATTTCGACCATTGCTGTCGCCCCAAAGAACGTTAAAGATGCTGATGGCAAAGGTCCTGATATTACTGAAACTGTTACCGGCGCTGCTACTGGCACCTCTGTTGACGGAGAATGTGGTCTAGGCGCGGACAGTGGTGACATGTCTCTGATATTCCCCTCTCCACTTACTGGAGCCATAGTCCTTAGTACCGGTAAAGACAAAGTATCTGTGTTTTCCAAATCATGACTAGAAACGGAGGAAGCATGTGTTTGCGTATTGGCCAATAAGGCTGTAGTCGCTGCTCCAGGGCTACGCTGATCAGCAGGGGTCATTCCCTCTGATTGTCGGACTGGCCCACGCCTACGAGGTGGCACGTACCGTCGCGATCTCGACGCTGGTCCTCCGGGCCTGTTCAGCGGCGGCGGACCGCCTCGGATGTGTCCAGTAGCCACCCTCTCTAGACCGCTCGATCTTTGCACCCGATCATTGTTAATGTTCGTGTCTGAAAGACTTCGGTGCTGACTGGCATCCATATGATTGAACTCAATAGCTTCCTGTCCGGGTTGTCGGTCCGCTCAGCTACAACTTCATAGGAGCGACCTGAATCGTGCTCATTCTGCAGTAGTTGATGCGAATTCCGGATCTGTGATGGATTCTGAGGCTGTAGATCCCTGACTGTCATAGGAAGCTCTGTGAGGGCATTAGGGTCAGATTGGGCAGGCTGAACGTTGCGATAGTAAGGTCCGAAGTGATCCCTGCAGATTATGATTACGGATGAAGCGCCTACTGTTGCGAGTTCTTGGAACTAATTGTGTTGATTTGCCAGATAGTTTTGGATCCATCAAATAGCATAGATATTCGATTGTATCTTCGACCCAATACTCTAATGTCCAAGCACCTTGTTGAGAAGGTGAGCCTTCTCTTACTTCTTCTCTTTCTTCTTCTTCTGCTTCTTCGATTTGTAATGTCTCATCTTGTCTCTGCTGTAAATGGGTAGGCTGCCCTGGCCCACAAGGCCCTGTCTGTGTCGTGTTTGAGTTAGTGTTAGCGTATGAGTGGTTGCAGGGTGTGTGTGGCCAACTATATTCGATGGAATATGCTGCCGCCTGACTTCATAGTCTAAGATTCCACAAGGCTATAGCTCGGGATCACAACGTAGGTTGTACTCTGATCCTCTGGAAGGTTGAATGGTAATGCGGATATGGGAATGGGGATATATCCCGGAAGCTCATCCTCCTCCAGAAACGGTCGGCGATATATTGGTGTGGGCATGGGTGCGCGGAAGTAGTTGCTACTGCTATTGGTACTGCTGGTGCTAGAGGCCCCTGATGATGTATCATCTCCGTTTCTATTGCATACGTTTCGTTTGCACTTTTGAGGAAGCGAGGTTGTTGTTGATTCGACTACAACGGCCCCAGGGTGAGGGCTAGGTCCTTCCATGTCATCACGTTTTGTTGTACGTAGGCTGGCGGGTAAAGAGGCAGCGAAGCCCTTGTGGTTATGTAATATTGATGGTTGCCAGTGTGCTACTGTGTTTCCTTCATGAATGAGGGTGCACTCCTGAACTGGCCTGGTGCTCTGACTTTGAGTGAGATTGATACTGATGAGGATACCATTTAGACGATGACGACTCTGGTTGACAATTAGAAACTGTTATATTCATTTTCAGATCCAGAAGCATAATATGACCTTCTGGAAAAAGTTTAGTTGACGTATTCGCAGAGGAGATGGTGGTAGCGGAGTCTCATCTGTATCCAACGAAATGATAAACGCCGTCGTAGACTGGGCTAATGCTTGTCGGCTTCGTAATCCATTGTTGTTACCGCACGTTCAAATTTTATTGTTCTGGTCACTTAATAACGCTTAATTTTGCTTATGAACCCAAAGTTTGTAAGAGTACAGAGGAAACAAAAGAATTCATAGAAATTCAACGCTCTTTTTTTTTTTTTGTAAGGAAGAGGCTAAAATGATGTTGGCCTGTCAGCTCAAAGTGATTGCTTGCTACGACAAAGTGATGATGAGCTAAAGACGGTGGTTTAGAGGACTTTACACGTAACGACTTCTTTGACCACAGCAAAAATTGATGGTAAATAAAAAAAAAAAAAAAAAAGGGGGGAAAAGAAGAGGAAACAGTTCCATGCACGGGAGAAAGAAGAGAGCAAGGAAAGTAAGTCTGAGGAGACAGTGGGAGACAATGGGGCTTCAAGAATTGGGAGGAAGAAAGGTGGGAGAGTGAGAAAAAAGAAAAGTAACAAACGTGCAGTAGGACACAAAGTCGAGACAAAATCCCCATCAAGAGAAGACTGGTAACAAGCAATTTACCAATGAACGAAAAAACCAGTTCCTTGTACAAAATTGCTCTCATTGATTGGCGAATCTCCAGATAGGCAGTAGGCACGAGTATCCACACCATCAAATGGCAAGTGTTGTGTGTAACGGTCCAGTAAGAAATACAACAAAGAGGTGAAAGTCCTGTGATATTGAGGCATGTGCATGTCAAGGGTATATCTAGTCGAATTGAATCGTGTATGCGTAACTGAGGGTCCTTGTTAAAAAAATGAATCGTGTGTGTGTAAAATGGAAAAAGGGAATCGAACGGTTTATAATGAGCCATGCTTAACTATGCAGATCAAGGTTTTCTTCCCACGCCACGACATGGTTGTCAATGACGGGGGAACAAAGGTAAAGTGGATAAAAACTAGATGCTGAAAGTCATGGAATAAAGAGAAACTGATTGTTTGTACTCGGATTTTTTTTTTTTTTTTTTCATCCTGTTTCTTTCGTATTATTTTAACAGGGTCATTGATCGTCTTTTCAAAGCAATTCTCCCCTGATGCACATCTAGGAGGGGATTGATTTGAATCTAATGAAGTATCGCGTGCTTGGCAACATCAACCAAAAAGTAATACTGAACGCCCATTCCCATTCAGACGACCCTTGGGATGTTGGACCTAATAATCATAATTCTATCATCTTTATCACATAAGAAGACGTGTATGTGCTTAACAATTCTACCGTCATTTTTTTTTTTTTTTTTTTTCCGCATTGTCCCAGCACACACCATCAGAGAGATGAATCCATCAGCATTGGCCAAGAGGAACAAGATAGATCGCGCGGGAGATGATGGTGTTACATGTTTGGCTCTTTAACTTGCATGTGCATGAGCATGAGCGGAGATGGAGATTAGTCCCTTCTCTCGAGGTATATATTATTTTTAATGTCATTCATTCTTCTTCATGATCCATGACGTTAGTCTACCCCCGTGGGGTAAAAAGTAAAAAGGGGGTCGAGAGGAAGAAAGGGAAGGTGATACAATGGGCAATGAAAAGATGTTTCGGTGGGATTGTATTGTCTGTGTCATTCATCAGGGCTTCGGGAAGTCTGTTTTTGCACGATGTTCCTTCCTTCTTCCTCGTCATTCCTTCATTGATTGTGATTCAACTTGTCGTGCTCAAGCTGATATTGTGAATTAATAGAAGAGGATCTAAAAGTAAAAAAAAAAAAAAAAAAAAAAAAAAAAAAAAGAAAAAGGGTCGTTGCTCTTTTTTTTTTTTTTTAGTTTTTGAGAGAAAAAGGGGTAGAGTGAGGATGAATGATGGATCATGCTGATGCCAGGCACAGTTGTCAAACGTAACAATGCCAGGGCAGATGCTTCTGGACGATTGCTTTTTTTTTTTTTTTTTTTTTTTGGCGGGAGAAGAGTTGAGAGGTTTTGCCTGTGCTAACGTCTATGCTTATGAATATGCCGATGCTTAAATGCTTATGCCATTATCCATTGTCCATCATCTGTTTATACAATCGTTGGTGGATTGAGATGCGGTAGCGATAAGTTGATTGAGATGAGGAGCTGAAAAGAGTCAATGAAGATGCAGAGAGAAAATAAAAAAGGATCGTCATGAACCCACAGGAACATGGATGTGGATAATTGTGCAATGCAATGCCCTTTTTTGTCTTTTACCTCTTTTACTGCCCCCTCTCTTCCTCTCTCTCTTTCCTTTCCTTTCCTTTCTTTTCTTTCCTCCTTTTCATTCACAGATAAAACTTTTTCAACCTAACCTTTATACATTCAACTCTGATCTTGTCATTCACATCACTCTCACTCTCACTCTCACTCTCATTCACTCCACACCCATTCAATTCAACCACTTTTTAAAAAGACTTTTTTTTCTTCCTTCTTCTTTTAGCCCGCTTTCAACACCTTCTCTTTTGCTCTTCTTTGGCCAATACACCGCGGATCAACGCGACGTCTGTTTCTCCTTTACTTCCTCACTGTTTCTCCTCCTCCTGACACTATTACACTTTCCCGGCACGGTTTAGAAAACCAGACCTCTTCAACTTTCTTCTCTATTCTGATTGCTCCGCATTTTACAGTTGTCGGTAGCAACGTACTACTACTCATCTACACATTCCCAAAGCAAGCTTTCATTGGATAGACAGATCGACCCTTTTCCCATCCTTGCCTAAACTCATACATCCTATTATCCAGTCATGTATCACTCTATGGTGCAGGGTAATGAGGAGATAGAGGATCCACGTTGGAATGGTAAGTAACGTTTTTTTTTTTTTTTGCTAATCATTTATTCATCCATCATTTATATGGTTATATGGATAACGTATACTTTGGGTGCATGCGCGTGCGCATTGACGAATGTGTAAGCAGCGAATGCTTATTTTTTCTGCACCGTCATACTGCCTCCTTTTCTAGGCCAAAGTCATGTTCCTTTTTTCTTTTTTTTCTGTTCCTTGTTCCTTTAAACACAAACACAAAACATAAACAAAACCCAAACACAAACTATGACATGCCTTGGGTCACATACCACGGATGCAAGTGCACTGTTGACATGTGCAGTGCCTTTCGAAGAGAAAAATAAAAGAAAAAGAAAAAAGTGCACGCGGTCATCTTTCAACAGTAAAAAGCAATAGCAACAACAAACAGCATCACATAAGCCGATGTTTTTGACTATTTTTTTTGTGCGTTGGGACCAATGGGGTGATGGGCTCTTTTAACTTTTTTTATTTTTTATTTTTTAAATTCCCCTTTCGCCTCTTTTAAACTCTCTCTTGTACTCTTTTCTCTAACCATGTTGCTCTTTGATATTCCTTTTTGACTCTTTTGGCTCTTTTGGCTCTTTTGGCTCACTTTCCGTGGTCTCATTGTGCAGAAGTACTGCGGTTTACAATTGGCCAAAGCCGTAACAACCGCTCCTCCACTTCGCTTGCCTCCAGAGCCGTCACGATCTATGAGGACGACGAAACTTTGCCACTGTTGTCTTAGTGGGTTAATCCCCACGCGTCGTCAAGTCGCGCAATGGACTAAACAGCATATGGAAACGGCAGGCCGTGCTACTGGTTCTTCCTGTCTCAATTGTAAGTCAGTTTTAGGTTATTTAGCGCTTGTCTTTTTTGTCTGTTCCTGAATTACCTTCATTGTTTTCCATACACATTCATATTTACACATGATCTCCGATGACTTCAAAAAAATTGCTAAATCCTAAATTCTTATGATGTGTGACAATAGGTCATCATGTGGTGTTCAGTGCCTTTACGTACCTATCCAGATGAGCCAGAGGATGGAGGAGGAGGCAACACCACATGGCCTTGGGATGGCTTCCCCTGGAACCCACCTCACCAGGATCAAAACGCTACATTGCAGCCCTCTTCGCTTATCGCAGCAGCAATAACAGCTACTGCAGGAGGTGTAGCAGCAGGATTCGATGGTGGCGCACTATCAGCAAACCTATCAAACCTATCAGCCAATCTCACCAACATGCTTCCAACGACGCCTCCACAACCGGCAGTGTTGATCAACTTTTGGTGGTTTTTATGGTTTATTATGGGTTCTACAACGCCATTGGACTACTGCTGATTACCAAGATCTTTAACATCTATTCACTCAACTGGTGGCCCAAGGCCCTCGGTGGTCTCACATCCTACTTCATTTTCTGGCTCTCAACACAACTCATGGGGATCTTGGTCTATTACTTTACTGGACTAGAAAGCTATCGTCTTACCTGGGTCTTCCTCACTTTCTGCACCATGACTATGCCACTCCTTATTGCGTTCCTAGTCATCCGTTCTGAAAACCGAAATGTATATCGACATTCGCTCACAATGGCTCAAAAGACATTTCTCTCAGCTTCGTCGATCGAATCTCGGATTCCAGCTTCTTATATCCGCTTCCTATGGTTTTGTGTCGCCCTCGCTATTGCGCTCAGCACCATTGTCACAGGAGAGATGTATGCAGATCAGTTTCAGGCACCACGGACGACTCCGCATACGACAATTGAGGACTGGTGTATGTGTATTCGTGGGTGGGGACGATTTATATTTTGGATGCCATCACGGATTATATCGTGGAGACCCGAGTTCGTTCATATCCTCTATCGTCGATCTTCAAGCTCTATTATTTCATGATCTATTTCATCTTTTTATCGGAACCTGTTTGTACGTCTACGATCCTATGAGCAATTCTTAGTCATCCAGCTGGCCTCATCCTTCTGGGTCTGTATTTTTTCACCCGATTTGTATGACACATACCGTCTACAAGAACTTGGTCTATTTGTTTGGGATCACAAGGACGTATGAGGAGTACAAACGACAGGTCGGACGTGGATTGTTCTTGAGAAACTTGGCAGAGAATGTGACAATGTTGGCGTTCTTGTTATGGGTAAACATTCTGTATTATGGACCCAATGCCAAAATTTACTCGTATTTCCAATTCAAGGATCAGAATCGAGGGAATAACCGTGATATCACGGTCTATGCTCATTGGGAATCTGGGCTAGTGAGCTGATATCTAATTTTATTAACCGGACTATCTGCAGAAGGTGGATGGGACACCATGTCACAAAGGAGGCCCTCAAGATTTCAAAGAATACCCTGAGCTGATTGTTGTCTTCATCTTGGTCATGATTCATATCCTACAGGACATGTTGCTCTCTTTACTGGATCTCAACTTTGCATAGATGACAAACAAGCGTGACTTTTTAACTCGTTCGCTTGCCCTTCTTTCACTCTTTTTTTTTTTTTTTTTTTTTTATTTTATTTTATTTTTTTTTTCATGTGTATCTTCTAAACCTTGTATGTGTGTATTTTTATTTATTATCTATTATCTCTACCTTTGTATCTGGTGGGAGCTGGTCTTTCAGAGATTCAACTCTACACTTCTTATTCTCCCAATTTGTAGGTCCTATTTTCCATTATGATCCATGTGGCATTTTATTTTATTTTTTGGCATGTTGTACTTTTATTTACTATTTCACACAACCTATCCTTCACCCTTTGTCTTCGTTCCCTCAAATCCACTTTAACACGTCATCATCCTTTGCTCCTTGTAGTAAAAGTAAAAATAATAGTAATAATAATAAAAAAAAAAACTTTTTTTTTTTGTAATTTCATCATACTGCGTAGTCAAAGAAAAAATGTTATTAGAGTGTCAAGTAAATATCACTGGGGGTTAATACAGAGACGTGAAACGTCAAATACATGATGCAAAGTCTTATTAGTCTAAAAAAAAAAAAAGAAAAGAAAAGGAGGCGCTAAAATGCGCGGTATATGCACTTATTTTAGTTGCACATGTGTAGAGGATAGTGATGGTGATTGCTTTCCTTGCTGCTGTGGAGGCAACAGTGGCTGATCAAACATAGTAGCTAACTTTAAAGCACCGGCACCGGCACCGGCACCGGCACTCGGAGAGCGTGGAGACGAAGAGAGAGAAGAAATGGATCCTACTATTCCTGGACGATTCAGAGAAAGAGAGTTGCGCTGGATATGCATCTTACTGCCATGAGGACCATCTGTGGAACTACCATTGCGAGGTACCGAATGGATTCCACGCTCTGTAGCCCTAAGTGATACTTGCCGAATGGGTGTAGAGCCATCGCCAGAAGGATGGGCCCAGTGCTCACGTCTCTTGATCTCGGCCAGAGCCTGGACAAGGTTACCATAGGGACCAGAAGCGCCAAACTGTTGGCATTCACATGCATATTGTAAAGCGCCTGTTGTTGCTGTTGGCTCAAGGAAGAAGTCTGCTGCTGCAATGAAAGCTGGTGCTGCAGCTGATGTTCTTGCGGTTTTTGTAATTGCTGTTGCTGTTGTTGTTGCTGAGGAAAATAAGATGCTGTAGTAGTGAGCGGGGAGCCTGTAGGGTTAATCAGACTAGTGACGCTGTTATTCATACCGATACCTTTGCCACCACTCGGTATAGGCCGTTCAAGTTCACGACGGAGCCAGCTCTCGAATTGGCGCGGGAACGCCCTCCAAGGGGTGAAGGTAAGAAACTACCAAGGTCGATACTGGAGCGTGCACTTCTGGCCCAAGCCTCTAAATCATCTCACGAACCCATAGGCACCAAAATAGATCACTGCTAGATCAACGCCCACTTGTACAACACAGAAAAAACGCCATGACCCCCAAGAGGACGAATGGAGTCATCTTTTCCAGCGGTAAGCCTGTAAACAGAGAATGCAGATAGCGATTAGGAAACGTGAGAGATAGACGATCCGTTGAAATTTGTCATACGTCCGTAGGTTGATCCATTTGAGTAATGAGTTGCATAAGAAACGAGGCCGCAGACAACAAGGAAGTATCTGGTCAAATCGTAGTCTGTAGCACGCTCGAGGAGAGATCCCGGACCAGAGGCTCCTGCAGCAGATCGCCGCTCAATTGGGATTTCAAATCCCAATGCAAAAATAGTTTTCTGATAGATCCATGAGTGACAAGGCTACGTTCGGTATGAATCGAGCAGCAGCAGCATTCGAGGTCAAATGAGAAGAGCCTATGGTCATCTCTGTGATATGGTTCTCTAGTTTATAAAGGCGGATCAAATCCAATGCGCCTGTTCCACCAACACAATACAAACATGAAATGGCAAATGGAGATATGCCCAGAGTTGAGAGAGTGTCGTTGTCTTGTGAAATACCTAGATTGATTTTGTTGAAAATGAACTTGATTAAACAACACGCGGCTTTTTTTTTTTTTTTTTTTTTTTTTTTTTCCCTTTCTATTGTTATTAAAAAAAAAAAAAAAAAAAAAAAAAAAGAACCTTACATCTTCTGAAAAGTCGTCAAAATAGATCCACCATAATGCATACAGGATCACTGTGGTTAACAAGAATAAAATCCTAGAAGGATCCGGAAGAGGATTCAAAATAGTGTGTGGGTGAGTTAGGTAATTTTTTCTAATTCTTCTAATTAGGGGCCTAAGAGGTAAGAGATATAAAATTGTTTCACACATTACAAGAACGGGCTTGTTCCCCTTGTCCAAGAGCTCGTGCCAGCGCCCAAGCCTATAATCAATGATATTCTATATTGGTTGGAAGAAGAAAAAAAAAAAAACATCGTAGCCATAAATCAGCACGCCTGAAAGCTTTTTTTTTTTTTTTTTTTTTTTTTTGTGATTATTGCTGTATTACCTCTCCCAAGACAATGATAGTAAACAATGCAAATCGCTCTGGTAGATGGCTTCCAGCAAAGGTGACAGATGTGCGTCGTCCAAACGCCACTAAAACTATAATTTCCACAACAATCGTAAAATACCACATCACGTAGCGCCAGGCCATACTGTGTACGAGCATTGAGAGTCCCCAGATCAACATTGCCAAAACATTGCTTCCGATCTGTAACCATAGCGGTGTTAATGATTTCTTGGACCGATTCTTTTCGAGCCCAGTAAAGGACTACGGTAACGAGATGTAGTAATAAACAAGTTTTTTTTAAAAAAAAAAAAAAAAAAAAAAAAAAAAAAAACCTCCCATTGTCAGTAATAAAGGAAAAAAAGAAGAAAAAAAAAGGTGTTAATTGAATGACTAGGATGAAAAGACAATTCTTTTACCATTGCCGTATTCAATAGCCAAGACGCCCTTTAAAACAATGTAACTTCCAATAAATCCGGTCGAGGTACGGTCCAGATGATCGACCGAAAACGCTCCAAAGGAAATAAGCGCACAAAATTCAATCAGCATTGTAACTTTTGTAAACAGATCATCCATGTCAAATCGAGCGGCCCAAAACGTTTGACCTGCCCACTGTACGTTAAAGAAATAAAGAGTTTGTAACGCATATATATATTATAAAGCAATAGCAGAGCAACATTACTACTCAGGAATATAAGCAAGTATTTGTTCGGATTAAAAGACATACCGCCCACCACATGATAACGAACCAGCCAATGTAATGACCAAGTGCTCCGCTCCCAGTGATAGGATGGCTGTGTGTAAAATCGGTTAAATTGGCGACAAAAAGAAGATCATAAAACAACTCTAGAATAAAATAAATTAATAAGTTAACTTAATAAAAGCCTAATATTTAGCTTTTTTTTTTTTTTTTTTTTTTTGTTTACCTAGCCAACTAGCCTTTGGATCCTCAATAGGCATCAACGATAAATCTGTTGTAGGTCGTCTTTGGAAGGATAAGAGTGGAAGATAAAAGAATATGGTCATTCACGAGTCAAATACTCATCAGTTAACGATGATTTCTTTTTTTTTTTTTTTTTTTTTTTTTTTTTCCTTTGATCACTTCCTTACCTATACTTTTGCTTTTTGCGCCGAGTTTTTCTCTCTCTAATTGATGAAGATATGGACTCTCTTTAATAACAGCGAATGAGTCTCCATTTAAAACTTGATCATCCTGACAAATGTCACCCCCGGTGCTAAAAGAGTTTTTTTTTTTTTTTTTTTTTTTTAAAAAAAAAAAAAAGGTCAAAATTGTTAAAAGAACTGTTGATGATAAACAAAATAGTATAAATTTATATCTTGGGCAATAATAATATAAAGTTACATTCAGGTTCCTTTGTTGAAGCAACAAGTCGGACATCATAATCGCGAGGAATCTTTTCAAGATAGGTGGCCAGTTCCTCTTTAGTTTGAATCGCCTCCACATCCAGACGCTCTTTTGGCGAAAGTCCAAGTTCTTCTGTCAATGTCGCGAGATTCTTTTCGTTCAATGGACAAATCGGTTCACTCTTTGCATCTTCCTGAACATGAATTTCTAGTTTGAAATTAATCGATAAATAAAGTTAATTAATTTAAACAACCTTTTTTTTTTGTCCTGGACCCTTCCCCCTGGACAGGATTTGGACTTGGATCAATATATCATCATATTATTACCAAGGTGAACGCGTACTTCAGGATCCTCATCTGAAGAAGCAGACTCCAAGTCGGAAGCACTTCGTTTGATATATATTATTAATAAAAAAAAAAAAAAAAGAAAAAGAAAAAAAAAAAAAGAAAAAGAAATACACAGATAAGGATGAATAAGCAGAAACTCTCAAGTCTAACTAGTGTCATGCAAACTAGAAGAAAAAAAAAAAAAAAAAAAAAACCTTACGCTGTGGGGCTCAAGAGCTACAGGAATATCTTTTATGTCAGAATGTGGAATTCCATCAGGAATGCCTGCTGCTAAGGCCTTGGCTGCCGCTTGGACTTCTTCCTGTCCGTAAGGTGGTGGAATGATCATCTTTGAAGGCTGATCTCGCACCCGAAACTGGGCTATGCTAGGCCGAGAATTAGCATGATCGGCTTGGCTACGGCTGTGTTATTCCAACGGCTGAATCAGACCCAACTCCTTGTCCATTACTATTTTTTTTTTTTTTTTTTTTTGTAGTTAAAAAAGATGTAAGGATGAAATCTTTAACGTCTGAAAAAAATAAAATAAATAAAATAAAATAGAATAAAATAAAGATTGCAATCTTACGTTGTTCTCGAGTAGAATGCTTTCGCTCAAAAGCCTTTCTGCGCAGGGACTGAAGGCTTCCACTCATGCCTTCAGCAAAAGAATGGCTGGCAAGTGGTCTGTTAACAAGAGCTCATTTGGTACTTTGGTGTTCGATCGAAGAGGGCGACGTGGGTGCTGAATGGATGTGGTAGTCAGCTGATTAGGCTGAGATGAAGGCGTCTGAGGCTGGGGAGAGGTTGAATAGAGGTAGGGGAATGCGTCAATTGGTTGGTGGTGGTTAGAAATACAGACCCTAGCATATTGGGCATTAGTGAAGGATAGTGATCCTGGAAGGTCGCTGTTGGTTTGCCCTGATATCATTGCTGGCGTTGTTTATTTTCGGTGGTGTTGATGGAGTATCAGAATCATTAGCTGCATTACTCGATGATCGGCGCTATTGTTATGATGATGACTGTCAGGAGAAGTGGGCGAAGCACTTGTGCCTGCAATACCAATGCTACTCCCACTTCCACTTCTGTTGCTGGAGCTGTAGGATCGGACGCTGGTACCTCTTGAGCGCTGGTCGTGTGCCATGCGAATGTGAGCAAATATGAAAAAAATAAAAAATAAAAAAAGTTTTGAAATATGAACAGCGGTTTTACGGGTGGCAACAACAAGAAGTGCGGCAATTAGTGTAGAATTGAATCAGCAATGTCCAACTTGAAATGGAAGAAGAGGAGAGAGAAGGAACAGATGAGAAATGTAGTAAATAAAAAGAGAGCAAGAAGAAACTTGTTCTGGGCTCAAAGTCAAGGCCAAGGTTAAGGTCAAGGTTAAAGGCAGATCAAATCAGGTTTTTTTTTTTTTTCTTCTTCAATTGAGTTCAACAATTCTTATCGAGAAAAAATGAACAGACAAATGTAGATATTTATATATATATAATATTATACTGTATTTGGATGATTTAGATGTATTAATTTACACCCATGTTTTTTGTTTGGAGCAACATAGCACAACACATGGAGGTTGAATACAATCGAGAAACTTTTGTCCCTGCCAATGTCAGGTTGTATGAAAATAGCTCAATCGATTCAAGATCGATTCTCTTTTCTTCCCAAGGAAAAAAGTCGATCGGGGCTTATTTTTTTAGTTGTTTATTTTGTTTGGAAGAATGTAAACAAAGAAAGGCGTTCTGCAAGATGCAAGATGCATGATTATGATTTTTTTTTTTTTTTTTTTTTTTGCCAATAATTATTAATTATGATATGGTATACACATATTCGTAGATTGGGAGAGAAGGATAGAAAATGGGTAAAAGGTTATGATTCGATGATAGCATGTGGGTTGCCAGGTGCGCGTTCCTCCCAATAGTTGCTCTCATGCTTGGGAGTATTCGCTTGGGCTGCTGCGCACCGTTGTTCCTGAAGAACCCGATGGTGGAGGGGGAGCAAATGCCACAGGGGTCATGGCATGACTTCCGAATACAGGCTATTGCCTCCTACTATCCTGTAGGGTATATCCACCACTGACAGGTACTGCTTTGATGGATTCTGGAGAAACATGCATACCCGACATTGGAGAAACGGCGGAGACAATGATCGGATTGGATACGCCCGCAGCAGAGTAAATAATAGAGGTTGATAACCTTGATAGCTATAAGGCACATCCTGTAATGGTGTTGTGGTAGTTGTTGTTGTTGCTGTTGCAACTGAAGTTGTTGTTGTTGCTGTTGCAATTGAAGTAATCTTCGCTGCAAGTCAAGTTGCTCCTGTTGATTCTGAATCTGTGTCCGCATTTTTTGTAATTCGTCATCATCTTTGCCTTCTGGTTGCAAGGGCCGCTTGCATGATGGGTTTTCCTCAGGATCTCAGTAGTTTTGACAGGAGTGGCACGATGTTGCTTTTTGCGAAAAACGAAGAAAAGAATAATTCCGCAGATGACAGCGACCGCAGCGACGACCCCTCCTGCGATAGCTCCTGCATTACTGGATGATGACTCATTCTCCGGTCCTTTGAGTCCATTGGTTCCTGTAGGCGCTGGAGCCGACGAAGTTGTTTCTTTTCTCTTTCTGCAACATAAGCTTCCGGGGGAGTATACGTTGTACCCCAGCTGTTAGTGCCGATGTTGGTAAATGGAGACGTCAACAGGGCCTGCGGCATCATCGGACGTCTGTCCTCCCCAAATCAGGAACTGATCACCTGCAATAGTACACGCTGTATAGGCCCTTGGAGGTCCAGAAGCGCCTTTGAGTCCATTTCCTCTGATTGTATCCAGAATATACAAATCGCCTGTGAATGGCCCAGCGACAGGTCTTCCACCACATACGATAACCAATGTGCCATCGTCATCTATAAACATGATTCAAGACAGACTTTAGACACGAAAAACGTGAAACGGCACGGCACAAAAGAAATAAGGTTGCACATATTATTCTACTGTTTAAGCTTACTGGACGCCATGCAATGATCTGCTCGCCAGGGTGGAGCAACTCCTGTTGTATGCTACAAATTAGTAAGGGGGTAAGCAGGGATGATGTTAGCATTCTTTTTTTTTTTTAAAAAAAAAAAAAAAAAAAAAAAAAAAAGCCCAAAGGAGCAACAAGACTCCTTGACTAGCACAAGTGTCGCATATTGAGCTATGACAGCATGCTCACACTTACCATGGTATACCAACTGTTTTCGTTTGGGACAAACTCTGTGACAACATTATCAGTAGTGACAGGCCTGAGTGTGGCGTTGTAACCACCAAAGTACAGGATACTCTTCCGTCGAGAACACCACACGTTGGCGTAGTAAGCTCTGCTCTGAAAGATTGTTGTATTCATCGGAATTGACGTGAACGAATCTGTCGAAAAGTCATAAACGCTCATGATGTCGCGAGTGTTGTCTGTGTAGCCGCCAGCCAAGTAAACAAGACCGGTGTTGGGATCTGTCACAGCTCCAACGCCTTGACGATCGGTGTTACCGATACGTAAATTGGAAGGCGTCCAATGAGTTGTGATGAGAGAGTAACGGAAAGCAAAACCAGCACTACCAGAGTGAAAGGTAATCATGGTCTTTTGATCCGCAGAGAAGGCAGCGGGGAAAACATACTGCTTTGGCCCATCATTAAGCTGGGTCCATGCAGGGGCAGAAGAGTTCCAAGGGACAGCAAGGTCGAGAGAGAAGAACTGACCATACGAGAGCTCTTCATTTCGACCGCCCTGGATATAAAAGCGTGTGGCAGTTCTGGCAAAGGCAGGGCCCTGGACAGCTAAAGGAGTGGACTGTGCCTGAACTGCTGAGACTAGCAAGTCTAGGGATGTTGTGAGGGTGACGAGAAGTAACGGAGAGCTTTGAATGAGAATGATCTGGAAGCGGATGGGGATGAGGATGAAGATGAGGATGGGGATGAGGATGTGGATGTGAATGAGGATGAGCAAGAGGAAGAAGGAGCGTGTTGTTTGCGAGGCCTTTTTGAAGCATGCTGATGGGAAAAGATACGTTGGAAGGTTAAATTAAGGTCAGGAAAGAGGGAAAAAAAAAAAAAAAAAAAAAAAAAAAAAAAGGTGGGAGTGAGAAGGCGGTGTAAGGACAGAAAGAGAAAGAGAGAAAGAGAGAAAGAGAGAAAGAGAGGATGAAAAGAAGGCTGAAAATAAAAAGAGCGATTGATGAACTACGAGCAATGCATCCAGGGAAAGAAAAGAGAAGGCTCTCTATCCTCTCCCCCTCCCCCTCTCTTTTTTTATCTTTCTGAGCTGGGCTAGGGCAGAAAACATGTCCCTGCGCTCTCTTTCATCTTCATTTGGGCACCATACATTGATGCATGCGTTCTATCAACCTTTTTTTTTTTTTTTTTATTTTTTTTATTTTTTTTTTTATACGTATTCTTCGGTATTATACAGAAATATATATCTGCATTCCAACTGATCCACTTCATCGCCTTTGATTCCTTCGATCGTCTTGTCTGGCATGGCTAAAGAAAAAAATTAGCAGGGGTCAAGGAGACAGGGCAAGGCGAACGCGCGTAGTTCTACAGAGATTGGCACGTTCCAAATGAATAAACCATACATTTAATGAAACACATGTTGGCCTCGCTGACAAACCTGCCATTTTTGCCATTTCCCGCGGACAATTTTTTTTTTTTTTTTTTTTTCACCATTGCTTAATTGGAAATAACAATTATCCATGATGGCATCATCATTAAAACCATGGCCTTTGCGCTATGCTCTTTCTCTCTTTCTCTTTCTCGCACTCTCTCGCATACATTCTCACACACAGGCGTATATCTCTGCTCCTACTCTCTTCTCATTCATGGTTCATTCGATTCCATTCATCCCACTTTTTTTACCTCTTCACTCTTGACTCTTCTTCCTTGCTTCTGCCTTCTCTCCTTCCCTTTCTTCTTCCGCTCTTTTCAACAGAAAAAAATCTCCAGAATTCGATACATCAAGACATGGGTGCTGTTCAGTCCTTATTCGACCACGAAAATGAAATTGCTGCTGCAGCTGAAACAGGCAGGCAGCAAAGCATGACTGACCAAAAGAACCTTTCCTGGGGCAGTACGAAGCTGCATAAAAGCATGGCTTCAAAGTTCACGGAACTTGAGATGCTTTCTCTGCGTACTGTTCTTCAGCAACTCCAGCAGAAACAGGACAAGGCCATCCGACAACAGGCTGCAGTTGAAGCGAATGCTTCCCAAACAAAGAAGGACATCCGTCCTGTCTCTGGGATCACCGAAGCGACCTTTGTGGTAATCATCATTGTATCTCCAATGGTCTCGTACTTTTATTGGGCAAATAATCCGATGGGATGTTTAAAATTCGGTACATTGTCTTTCCTTTCTTTCTCTTGATCTTATTTCTTCCCGTGGACAGGAATATCTTGATATTCCTGGTAACAGCCGTGCAGCACAGCTGCTTTTCCGTTCATTTTACAATCTTTCAGTGTATCCTGATCACCCAGAAACATTGCGGAGCCAAGGGCTACCCAAGGTTCTAACAGCTCGTGATTTCATCAAGCCTTTGGCATTGTATTGTCAGAAAGTAAGCGAAGGCACATTTGTGGATCTCAACCCCCTCAAAGTTATCTTTGAGTCTTTTGCTGCCACAGTCCCCAAAGAGCAAGACTCCGCCCAGGCCCATGGGAGCGACAACAACGTGAACAATACCAATACTGACGCCGATACCTTATCGTCATTGGGAGGAGAAGGCTCACTACATCGTTCAAAGACAATAGAGGATTCGCTTAAAGAACTGACGCTGCAATGGGATCCAGAAGATGAAGAAGATGTAGATAGTGGTCCCAAGGTGGAGGCATTAGATCTGGTCGAAGTCCTCGATGGTTTATTCTGCCTTATCGAACAAGTGCTCCATTATACTGAAAGCAATGACAATGGTAGCCCAACAAATGATTCAGCTGCAGAATCACATTCTGTATCCATTACCACAACAACTATAGGATCTCATCGACATCGAGCTCTAATAATGGTAGAGCATCTTATTCAGTACAGCAAAGCCTCGTCATCCAAAGGAATCAACACGCCTCTTGATTTGACTTCAGAGCTCATTGATTTTGCCATGTTTTCAAAATATGTCTCGCGAAACATTCCTAATCTCTTCCAAGTACTCTCACCCTACTTTTACAATCTCTTTCTCATCGGTAATACCCTCCGACCAACAGGATCCAACACCAACACTAGCACCGCAGGAAAGTATATTCTACCCGGGGTCTCTCCGATCCCTAAAATGAGTGCGCCCTCAACCATTCTGACGCCAGAGACTATTGCCCTGGTCTCATGGTTTCTCCCACTCAGTAAGACAACGCCCACAATGACTCTGCTTTACGCAGGAAGTCAGCATGGATTCAGCATGAGCCAATTTGAAAGT